ATCCTATCCTCAGCAAGCCACCCACCGAGTCACTTTATTGGTAAGAGCTTACCAAAAGTCTGCAACCCACTACCGTCTCCACCAACGAAGCATCAATTAATATTTTTGGTTAGTACATATGGAAAAAGAAAACAATCATTTTGGTTCGCAGTAGCACCACCGGACATTGCTATTCCACTACTTTTCATGATGCGAGATAGTCTCGACTCGTTGTATATTGCAGGGCCGAGGTCCACACCAAGCAGAGTCATGGTACAACTCGTACAGTTCGGATTCATAGCCAGCTATTAGCATATCATATGGTTATATAAAGAACCAGCACCTCCAACTTTATTCATCTTAGGCTAGTTCGTTCTATCATCCATTAAACAATCAGTATGATACTCACTCGATCCTTCCATCTGCTAGCCACTGCATGCTGGTTTACTACCCAGATACTTGGAGATCTTACTTGCAAGACAACGCCTCTCGACAGCAATTGGCCATCCGACGCCGACTGGACCGCTCTTAATGTTTCGATCAATGGTACCTTGATCAGGTCAGCTCCCGTAGCATCTTCTTGTTATGATGGAAATCCTTTCAACTCGACCGAAACATGCGAATATGTTGAAGCAAATTGGAAGCTTGCTACTTTCCATGCTGCAACTCCAGAATCGGTTAACGCCGTGCTTTTCGCGAACAACTCTTGTTTACCTCCTACCGAATCGGACTTTACAGTGCAAAAAGGTTGCTCGATAGGAGGAGCACCACAGTATGTTGTTAATGCGACAACTGAAGCACAAATCGCAGTGGCGGCAGCTTGGGCATCAGAACGAAACATAAGACTTGTTATCAAAGGAACTGGACACGATCTGAATGGCCGGTAAGTTGATTAAATTTCCACTAGCATATTGTTAGCTAATATGATACGAAAGATCCAGCGGAGCTTACTCTTTGTCCATCTGGACACATAACTTCAGGAACATTCAGTTCAACGCCTCATGGCCACTGCCGGGTTGTAATAAGACCGAAGATGTCGTAATTGCTGGAAGTGGGAACATCTGGCACGATGTCTTACTCGCAGGAGCAAAATTCGGAAAAGTCGTCGTATCCGGTGGCGCATATGATGTTGGGCTTGGTGGTTTTATTCAAGGCGGTGGCCATGGACCACTTTCGAGTACTTACGGTCTTGCCGCTGATCAACTTCTTCAAGCTCGGGTCATAACAACGAACGGTACAATTCTCGTCGCCAACTCAGCGCAAAACCAAGATCTGTTGTGGGCCCTCCGCGGCGGCGGCGGTGGTCAATATGGGATCGTCATAGAGTATATACTTAAGGCCTATCCTACCCCAAGTTCCGTCGTAACCGGAGGTCTGTCACTCTCGGCTGTTGGTCGGGACAATTCCAGTATTGCTGCTCTCTGGAATGCGTTTGGTCTATTAATGCAAAGTTTACCAGATCTTATGGATGCTGGGCTCGCAGGCGCCATGACAGCAACTACACCTGGTTCAATATCTGCTAGTGACGTTGCCTTGTCGTCTAGAGGGCTGTCTGCAGAAATTAGCTTTTTTGGCTACAACATCACAGCCTGTGAAATGACCGCCATTGTTCAACCGGTCATCACTAAGCTAAGGGCTCAGGGGAGCCATTCAAGTTTTGCTATAACGTGGGACAAGCCAAGCACTTTTTCGACCTTCTCGGATTTCTTCGACTCAACCAACGGATCACCGAGTTCTGCTGGGGGAGGGTCGATGATGTCGAGCAGATTACTTGGCCGTGGTGAACTCTCCGACTCCACGCAGGCACAGGTTGTATCATACTTGCAGCGAGTAATGACTCCCCAGAATGAATCGAGTGGGGGCTTCATGGTAGTTGGTCTACAAGGTGGGCCGGGGCCAGCAAATGTCCCCAAGGATATGCGTGGTGCCTTAAATCCTGTCTGGAGATCTGCATATCTTCACACCATAGTCCTAGGTGCTTCGATCGACTCATCTTCGGACCCCCAAACAGCTTTGTCGTCAGCGGCAGAATGGGTAAATTCTTACACCGAGCCAATATGGCAACAATGGGCGCCAGCTTCGGGTGCTTACATGAATGAGGGAAACCCTTTCAATCCCAATTTCAAACACGACTTCTATGGTACCAGTTATGATCGTCTCCTTGAGATCAAGCAAAAGTATGATCCAACAGACAGTCTTTTTGTCTTGACAGGCGTTGGTAGCGATCGGTGGGATTACAATCTTAACACTGGGAAACTCTGCCAGACTTCGGAGAAGTAGCACTAGATCGATTTAGGTGGTTAAAATGCATAATGATGAGGATTTCTAAAAGAAAGTTATGATTAATAGCAAATGAATGTGATATAGCAGGATGAATACTCTTAAGCACGAAGTGAAGTGAGAGGTAAGGCCGTTGTATTGAAAGGGGGGAAGCTCGCTTACCGACCTCGCAGAGGACAAGTTAAGTGGCAGTCGAAACACGATAATTATTTAAAACAATTGACGAAACATCGTATTCTTACTGATCTAAATTGACACACTGTCCACATATTCCGTCAATTATTTCTAGTAAATAACCTCTTTTTAAGCTCTTCTCGAAGTCGACTTATTTAGTCTAAAGTTTAGTAGGCAAGTGACTGACACTTATCTTGTCCTCCGTGAGCCGACATCTTAAATCGCATTACCCGTGAACTCCTCCTTGTAAACAACCATAAAGTCTATAGTTGACCTCGTATACCTGAGGGGCCGTTATTCAAATGATAAGAAGTTCAAGATGCAGATTGTCGCATTACTGCTGTCTTCATATTAGCTTGGTTGAGAAGGAAATACGGATGAGTCACATGTTTCTGCATTCAAGAAATGGTTCAATATTGCTCAACGACGATACATATATTTTCGCGTATGTAGAATCCCTCAAATTATGATTTCTTACCGAACAAATAGACGCACTATGTCTACAGTATCTCCTTCCCATAAACATGCTCAGAGCTCTGGTAAAAGCTCTTCTTGACATGAACATCCACCGGCTGCTCTCCAGCATCGCTCTCAACATCATGAACCGCCTTTGTCTCAATATGTATCGCGTCGGGCCTCGCAAGATGACCATTTGAGGAACTTTGGAGACTCGCATTCTTGTCTTCCACCTGCACGTAATTATCAGACTTGCTAGTACCAGGAATCTTGCTGTCGTGAGATCCGGTGGAGCGGAAAGATTGAAGGGATATGATGCTGCGTACACTACGAAGGATGTCTTCGGGTTTGATTTTGGTAACGAGGAACCATAATGATGGAAGGTTCACTGCTATGCAGCTGAGTCCGACTTCGAGTATTGAGAGGTAGATTGATTTGGAGTTGACCACTAGTAATACTAAGAAGTGACCAAAAGCAGGTTTCGTCAGGGTATACTTACGTCTAGCATCAAGTTTTGCTTTTGGTCCCATGGCATTAATCTGCACATATACCACCATTCGTGCGATACACGCTGCGAAGCCACTAAAGCAATCAGTTAGTTGTAGCTAGAGGGATGTGGAAATACTTACACGATAACCAAGAGGAAAATTGCCGAAACACCCACTCGGCGATGAACTGTTGACTTGATACGCCATATCTACCGCTATTAGTAAAGTATCACAGCATTAACGACAGAGCGTACCTGTGGAAGTGGAAGTACAATAATCCAAAAGTCCATGATAAAGTCCGAAATAGCAAAACTCAACAAGTACGGGTACGATATATGGCAGTACTGGATTTTGACAGCTCGAACAGCCCACAAAGCAGCAAAATGAGTTCCACATTGTAGAACTGTCAGAAGAAGATATGCGATCGTCCATAGAAGCGTTATGGTAAGTGAAACGAGGATCAAGCTCCGGAAAAGCTGACTGCGGCCGGACACACAGAAAATTCGATAGTAGAAGAACAGGGCGCTGGCCTTAATGCAGCCGAGAGTCAGAACAAGAAATATCTGGAAAGTGATGTAGAGCTAGCAGTTCTTAGTATATGTTTGTGTTGATATTCATTCAATATACACACCTTTGAAGTCATCGGCTGTGTTGCGGCTAGAACCTTTGGGTCTTTAGGAGAGGGATACCCAACAACTTTCTTTTGCATTCCTAAAGGCCTTTGTTAGCAAAATATCGGCGCCAAAAGGCTATGCAAAGAAATGCTTACCCCATAATGCGCAGCTTATGGCACCAATCAGCAAAAGCTACAGAACCAAAATCAGCTTGCATCGCGAAAGAGAAAAGTCGACAGTCATATCATACAAGACTTGGAACCATGAACCAGTCATCGGCTTTGTATGAAGCCTTCTGCTTCGTTCGCACCCAAAACCGCAAGGCCACAGAAATTGTTGACAAGCCCAGCATACAACTGCTCAATGCCATTAGGCCCTCGTAAGATGTAGAAGACATTTTGCAAGTGAGGCTGTATTTCGAATCAAATGAAGAACTTCGCTTTTCCCAGCCAGAAAGCGCGTTGAAAAATGGAGATATAAATCAACAAAAGAATCAAACAAGACTATCAGTTCGTGTCCTCCGAAAGTCTGAATTACGCCTCAGTGTGGATATAAAGCATCCCCTCTTCAAATCGAAAATAACGTGCAGGAAATATTGGCTTTCCTCATGCCGACCACGTTGCGGGACAATGCTCTTCCGGCAGATATGTCGGGCAATCCCCAAATATTAGCCTACCAACGTTGGAGTGTGATACAAGCTAAGGTCGAATTAAAAATCGCTGAGGGGTATCCAACTTTGTTAAAGTGGCAAGAATAAGTGTAGGTGTCACGCAATATAGCGATGCTATTGAGCAATCCGATTGATTGCCATATACCGTGCAGGCTGACAAGGACAATAGCACTGGGTGATTTCCGTGGCTTGTTTGAATTGTCTGGGCATGTCAACTATGTGGCTACACAACAGGAACTTGAAAGTTTTGACAGGTGGTGCATTTAAGCGAGCTGAGGATCGAATCCGATCGATATGCAGTCTCTTCCGATTATGATCTGTTTGTTTCCTGTTGATTGTCTAGATTTCGAAAGTTTGATAGCCAAGGTTTTCATACTAGCCTGTTGGCGATATGATCGCTCCTGCAGGTTGGTGTCCAATTAATTAGAATCTTATACAGATGATAGATTACTCACGTTGTACGAACAATTAGCACCAATGATATAGTCTTATAATTATCAACTGGAAGCAGAGTAATATCCCTTTCTAAGGACGTGTAGATTGCTGACTTCAGCTTGTCAAACGGTAGTACAAAATACTGAATCAAGCCAATTCCTTGGATGCTTTTCAAGGCATAGCCCTGGCGACAAATTTCTTGGTAAGATAGCAATCTTATTTTTGAAGTGGTGGGTGCGGGTTTGTTCTCAGAAACGGTGACTATTGTCTTGATCAATGGAATATCTACCAAAGTCAGAGGTTGGAAGGAGGCTGCAAGTCCTGAAATCGACAACGACAACGTCTGCTGAAACGTAGTAGTGTCGCGGTAAACATGGCCACAGGGCAATAAAAGATGAGAACATCGGCTTGTTCATACGCTCAACGTATCTTTCTAGTTCTCGAGTTAACCAAAGACCTGCACATATGGATCGCGCGTCCCAGTCCTTCTCCTCGTTTAACTCCTCATCCAGGTGCGGCTACCTGTCTCTCATGCACGCTTAGATCGCCGTTCGGCTCGTCTATAGTTTCCGTGATAACCGCTGGTGGTTGCCAATTATATTTCATGATGCCTAGAGTACGAGGTTGCACACGACGAATCAGGAAGATGCATCGTCCACAAGTTCCTGAAGATCCGAGATACAAAGGAGGTTTTTTGTGATATCCAACATGTCGGTACCTGATGACTCCACTCTCGCCCTATGAGAAAAGCTTGTTTGGGGGTTCATGCCTTGGATGTGTTGAACCAGATCGTATTCAACCTGGCTGGCAGTAATTGAAGGTGTGTTTTTAATTGTAATCGCAGAATCTGCCTAAGCCTTACATTCGGAGTGGTTTCCTTCCGTATCTGAATCCTACTGAGTTCGTGGAACATTATTGCGCGTGTCTTGTAAAGTGCTTTTGATAAGATCGGGATTCAAGGATTTTATATATTGCGAGGAAGCCAAGATTCGTTCAGCATATTTGAATCCATATATCCGGGAAACAACGCTGTATCTGCATTCGAAAAACAAAGAGTTCTCTCTCGCTCACTCTCAATACCACAAATATGCTCTTCAGATACGTCGTACTCCTTGCTACGGCAAGTGTGGTCTTGGCTCATCCCATTTCCAACGGTATGCTTTCAATACAACCCGCACGACCCACAGCGCTAACATCATGACAGCAGAGACTCGTACCGCGGACGTCAACTTGGCCCTTGAGCAAAGATCTGCAGACAAGGGTAATGCCCAGTCTCCGTGTTGAAACAAATTCAAAGCTCACAACCCAACAGCGGCAGACTTATCAACTTTGCTAGAATGGCACGACCAAGACAAACGGGCTGAGTCTTCGGGTAAGGGCACTCCTCCTGTGCCAGACAGATATTCAGTATGTGCGGCTGACAAACGCTTAGAAAATACCAAGGTCTCAGCGTTGCTTGAGTGGATGAACACGAGGTTCAATTAGAAGTGACGAGGATCTGGCCAGAGCTTTTGTGCTTATTAGCAACACGATGGGAACCGATCACTCGGGCAACGGAGCCGTCCTTTCTACGGTATGCTAGGTCGCTTCAAGTCAGAGGAGGATGTTCAACTTTTTCTTTTCTTGGAGCTTTGTTTTGTCCGGGCAGATATTTTGTGATGACGAATAGAATACACAGGAGTACGTTGATAGATCAAGAACTATTGGTGCATTATCATTGAAGTTGAGCGGCTCATTGAGAATTCATGTTGCTTTTCATTCATAAGACTCTGAATGAAGTGACTGCCAGCTTCATTGAGCAAAGAAAGCTACCTTTATACCATTTCGACTTTCCGTAGTCATCTTCGTCAGTTCAATGTACTCTTCACAAGAATCTCTGTTTTCAATCCTTGCGAACATCTTGGTCATCCTGACCAGTAGATAAGTTGCATGTGTCAGAATTTGTTGCTGTGCAGGACATATCCGCGCGCCACCCAAAAATGGTACGAACTGCCATGGAAGCCTCCTCTCCTGCCAGCGCTCAGGTCTAAATTCCATAACGTCTGTACCCCAGATGTCTTCATCATGGTGAAGTCCCCATATATTTAGAGCGATGATAGTTCCTTTCTCGACGAATATCGGTGCTTTTCCCTCTAGGCCTCCACCTGACGGAAGTACCGTATTACACGTTGCGACCCGCTGGACCTTTCCGGAAGGACCTTGAAGACGGAGTGTCTCGTTGATCACGTATCGGAAGAGCTGCAAAGACTTGAGAACTTCATATGTTAATTCGGTATCGCCCAAAGATATACTTTCAGTCCGGAGTTGCGACCAGATATGTGGATTTCGAACAAGATGAAACAGGGCATTGCCCATTAAGATCGATACAGAGTCGCGGGCTGGAAGGAGAACATTCAGTATCTGAAATCGAAGCTCAAAAGGATCTGTGATCTGCTTTGCCATCTCGTGTAGGAGAATATAGCGCTTCTGTGAGCCCGTTTCTGTGTCGCTTGAACCAGGACTCTCGCTTAAATTTTCCGCCAATGCTCGCCTAACATGAGCGTCAACCCAAGCATGGACTTTTTCATACGCTCTCCTCCAGTCCTTATCGAAGTAGTAAATAAGTGGGCTAAGCCGGCCGGCTAGTCGTCGCTTTCCAACTCCCATTAAGGCATCATTGAACGTCTTGACAAACTCCATAGATTCATTAGAATCCCCTGGCTGGAGAAGTGAGCATGTCGACTGTCCAAATAGGAACTCAGTAGATATATCAAGAAACTACTAATCATCAGCATCCACCTTCTTGAATTGCCATGGAAGTTCTACCAATCTGTGCAACGGAACTTGCAGGTCGATCATTGTGCCATCGCTTGGTATCATGCTCAAAAACCTGGTAACATGAATATCGAGAGAGTTCACATCCGAAATCTCAGATCTCGTAAAGATGGGTTTGATTAAGTCTCTAGAATGTCTCCAAGCCGCTCCTTCTTGGGAGAATATCCCCTTGCCAAGAAATGGCGTAAAGTCTTTCTGGGATATTTTGGCGTAATGTTGAAAACCTGTAGTGGTAACATGCTGTATGTTGATTCCTTCCATGGTATTGATGACCTTCGTTCTGTGAAAGTTCTCTTCCCAGGTCTTTCCCAGTATCCCAAAGTGTCGCATGTAGAGCTGCATCTGCCGTCCGGATCTTGCAGCCAAAGCACGCTCTTTGACAAGATCAGAGCCCCATATTGTATCCTTGTGTGGATACTTCGGTGGACGCCCACATCCGAGCTTCGTAGCAGCATTTCGAAATGCAGAATAGGCTTGCCATTTCTGGAGGATAAATAGAGTTACGAAAATGAGGATGCCAAGGGCAAATGTTCTTATTACAACGAGCATTGTTCCGATCGCACGCCACTAACATTCGACACCGACCCAGAATCTTCGCATACGTGAACGATTATCGGATAGCTTCAGCTACCCAACATCCTTGGTAGGTGAGTAGGTCCCTTGAATTCAGCAACAGAAGCCGATCACGTGAGCCGATTATTGATCCGCATAGGGCTAAAAAGGCAAGGCAAGTATTCTCGAGAGATCCAGCTACACAAGACGTGATAAGACCAAAGTTAAGTCCCAAGATCCGTGTTCCTCGGAGGTTTTCGAATCAACAAGTGAAAACGTCGTTGTTGTGTTCAATTACCCAGGTTACGTGTAAGAAGTGTTGGTCGAAAGCGTTGGTCGAATGACAGTTGGTGTGGTAGCACCAATAGAAAGCCGCCTAAATTATGAACATTTCTATATTGAAGCCCAGAATATGTGGCGTATTGAGATGTCTGTCAAGTCGGATCCAGTGGCGGGTTGGCGAAGTGAATGGCAATCCCCGTGAAAAGCTGCAAGGAGTCTAATCTCGGTGAGATTTGAATCCACCGAATATGCAGAAATCTTGCTTTTAGACTCTCAACATAACACAACTTATAGCTATACTGCTCGGAAGCTGACTGAGGGTGGACGATAAAATAGCCCAGTGGTTGAGAGACATGCGCACGAGCAGACGACAGGTTATTATCAGTTTATCCGATGAAAGCAGCGTTGCTCGATCGACTGTGATACCCCAGACGCGAAGCAGAGCTGAAAGCTTGATTCCGAACCTTTGCTGCAAGCCGTTCCGATGTTGGCACCACTCCTTAACCTCTCCTGGACTGCGCCATTAGCGTAGATCTTACTGACACACGTGAATTGAGGATGGCTTTGAAGTCTTGTGCATGCCTTGACGAAGAGGACCATCTCTCCTTCCTTTGTACAGGGACTTTAATGGCTTAGGCCCTGGGCTGTTGTCGCCTGAATTTCATTTCCATTGAGTAACGTGAGCATGACACGAGGACGCGCTCAGCAACATCGCGCAGGCAAAGTCTGGTAGCCACCTTGCTCTACTTATTGGTACGAGTTTGACAAGCGTGCAGCCAGGAATGCTAAAGCTTCATAACATTCTATTTAACGCCGCGATGATCTTTTGAATCGTGGGTTTACACTTGAGTGTAATGATAATCTAAAGATGCACTCTCCAAAATATAGCCCTCTAGATCAAGGCGCGCCGACTGATGAAGAGATCTATCAGCAACGCCAAGAACCAAGGCGAGAATTTGGTCCTCACAGAGCAGCGGTTCTTTTCAGATTGTTGCTAGTGGGCTCATTATGCCTGAATCTAGCTCTTCTTTGCCGTGATAGTGGTGCAAGATCGAAAGAGTTTCGACTGCCTGCGTCGAAATACGGTAAAGAAAGGCATCTTGCGCAATCAACGTTCGTTCGCTAATAAATAAATAGTGGGACTCGTAAGGAACGTACCATTGTCGTTTTCTCACGACGAGCTGTACACTAGCAGTAACAGAGTCGTTGCGGACGCGGCATGGAACTCCCCCAAACTTCAGTCGTGGAACGGGTTGGTGGCACTACCAGAAGACTACGTTCAGTCACACGGCCTGCCCCCAGCACAAAAATGGCCTTGGGATCAAGAGAAAGGCTTATACATACTGAATGGCTTCCACAACTTGCATTGCTTAGTGAGTAACTCCAAACTGTAGCGGTAGTGGCTTCTTCTGATCACGATTCGCCAGGACCTCGTTCGTCGAAGCATTCTACACGCTTATGATGGCAAACCACTGATGATACCGCTCGACCACGTTTCTCACTGCCTTAACGTGCTCCGAGAGGAGATCATGTGTAATGCAGATGATACACCAAGATACACGGGTAGCCTCAATGCAGAAGCTGGGAAAGAACACCCAACCTCGGGAATTGGGCAGGCCAAGATGTGCAATAGCTGGGACAAGCTATACAACTTTGCTGTTGAAAACTCTGCTTGTTATAGGCCAGTCAATACTAGCGACCCGAATTTTCCTGTCATCGAAAGATACAAGTTCTGTCCAGATGGAAAGGTCCTATGGCAGTAATGGCTCCCGATTTGGCGCAGTTGATTAGCTGAACAAGAGATTTATGTCAAGATCGTTCGAAATATCAACATCGCAATGGCAGTATGTGCTGAGCCAAAGCCTCTCGTCTACACAGAGGGCATTCAGGTTTCTCTCTAACCCAATCTCCAATGCAAACCCAGCAAAATACGTGACCGCAAGCTACAGCGCTAGGGTCCTTGAGCTCTTCCAAACATAATGTGCACTTCCTTTGTTGTTTGTCTTTGATCCACTTCATTTTGTCATCCTGCTCTAGGTGTATTTTTGGTTCGTCCGAGACGGGGGTGTGTGTAGTTTTCCCGATTTTGAAGTTCGAATGTTGTATGATCCCTAACGGGTGCGAGGACTCGAAGAGTAATTCGTTGTTGGAAGAATAAGCATTAGGATCTAGTGAAACCTCAACACCACCATCCAGCACAGCAGAGCCACCCATCGTGGCATCGGGATTTGCGGGTACTGGCACGCGGAATGTTGAATGCAAGTGCAACCACGTCTGCACCGTCATTTGCAATACCAGCAACACACCTAAAACCTCGTAGCCGACTCTTGCCTCGGATGGCGCAATACGTTTTGTGAAGATATATCGCAGACCCCATAGCCTTTTAGACAACTGATAGTAAGACCCAGTAAAATAGAAAATCGTGATCGTTAGCGCGTGAAGCGGTGATGGAGAAGTTATTGTAGCGAGGTGCTCGAGCAAGTATGATTGAATCTTGAATGATCTCGAATTCTGCTGTTCGCTCCGCGTCAAACGACGTAAATTTGCTTCAAGCTTGGTCCGTATTCGGCTTCGAAAGGAGGGCAGTATTCGGTTTAAAGAGTATGGAAGTAGAATAGAGGTAATGATGTATCCGGCTCTGCGCGATATTGCCGGTAGTTTTAATGTATCATCCTCAATTTGTATCACATCGCAGTATTCTTCTCCAAGAGTTCGATTCCCAATCAATGTCGTGAGGCCTAGGTATAGGAGTTCAGAGAACGTTCGCGCTTCCGAGGTATAAGTGTGTAAGAATCGCGCGCCATATATCTTTCGCAGTAAATTAGATAGGTGGTTGAGGAGAACACCTTCGAAGTAGGCATCTTTCTGGTGAGATCGTATTATGTCTGGAGCGGCTGCGAAAGGGTAATTGTACGACGTTGGGCCGGCATCCTTCTCTGATACCTGATCTGACATGGTGCTCTGCGGTGCGGATTAATTCTGATGGGAGAAATGGGGAGAAATGGTTGTCGAGAAAAGAGAGGAAGATCAATCAACTGGGCAATTCAAAGATTCAAGCTTATTGACCTCGGTATAGGGAACGCGTGCCCAGGTGGGGCGTGACTGTGGCTGGTGATTACAGAACGTGAGGTGTGGCGCAAATACTAAAATCGGATCCATCTATTCTTAGCGTTGAAACCAAATACGTAGCCTTCTCCTTGGATGGATTACAACAAAATATTTTTGATGATACAAATACAACAACGCTTTTCTTCTTTCACCACGGTCATTCCTTAGGACTTGTTCGATGCGGCGTTATTTTTTGCGGTAAACAATGGACGGCGACCCAGCTGTGGAACCTGAATTGGACTCTTTTAGTCTAACACTTCCCCTTCCTTATAGAGTTGCTATTGCTATTGTTTTAGGTAGCTATTTCTATGCTCTGGGTTGCCTATGAAATATGCTAATTAAAATACAGGAGTATGGGCATGGGGTCTGAATCTGCATTATCTTTCTCTTGCTAAAATTGTCAGTACTTCCAAATACTCTTTGTCGCTTGCCCCTTTCTACTAGGCGCAAAGCTAATACTTCTTTTTAGGATGTCCCTTCACTTCTTCAATATCCATCTAGACCTTCTCCTCGAACCGATCCTCCTCATTACCTATCTACCTTTCGGTTCGCGACTCTGCTCAGTATCCCACTGGCATTCTCCCTCTTCCTGTTCTGGATCCTCTCACACCGCAACCCAGATCTGGTAATCTTCTACGATTTTCTTCCCATATCATATCTCTGTCTTTTGCTGGGTCTATTTCTCTTGCCAATCCGCCACTTCTCGTCTGCCGGCCGCCGGCGCTTTCTCACCACCCTACGTCGAGTCTCAATAGGTGGCATTGCCCAAACAGGACAAGGGAAATTCGGGGATATCTTGTTGGCAGATGTTTTGACGTCGTATGCCAAAATAATTGCAGATCTTTTCGTCGCGTTATGCATGTTCTTCAGCTCGAATGGTTCGGCAACGAAAAGGCCTGATCGCGGCTGCGGAGGGCAATATGTTGTGCCAATTGTCATTGCTATTCCCTCCTTGATTCGGTTCCGACAATGTATAATCGAATACCTACGAGTTCGAGATAGCAATACAAAGAATGGAGGGATTGGCGCGCATGGTTGGGGCGGCCAGCATTTGGCGAATGCGCTGAAATATTCAACGGCTTTCCCAGTCATTATATTTTCCGCCCTTCAAAGAAATTTGAGTGTGAACCATGAGCACATAGGAGTCACGGAGACAACTTTATATCGACTGTGGTTGGTGGCGGTATTCACGAATAGTTTTTACAGTTTCTATTGGGACGTTGCTAAAGACTGGGATCTCACACTCTTCTCGTCAGCTCGCAACAGCCATGCTCATGCATACGGACTTCGCTCCCGACTATACTTCCCAGGAAAAGAAATCTATTATTTCGTCATCGCGACTGATCTTCTCCTCCGATGCACTTGGTCACTGAAACTATCACCCCATCTCGATCATTTCGCCGACTTCGAAAGCGGCATATTCCTGATGGAATTTCTTGAAGTCGGCAGGCGATGGATGTGGATATTTTTTCGAGTAGAAACTGAGTGGGTTCGAAATGTTAGTTTGGCGAGCTTAGGCACTCCTGGTCAAGATGATGTCTTGTTGGGAGATTATGGAAGTGAGCCAGATGACGAGAGCGATTGAAAGGAGACTACAGTCGCTGAGGAGTCCTCGTGTACGAAGACTATGGATTTGATTAGTGAGTATCGGTACTTGTACTCTTATCACGTATTTACACCGGCTTGGGCGTTTCTGCCTAGGAAGGCTAATACATGCTTTCTAGATGTGAAGGAAAGACTATATGGGATCTGGAGTGTACAGAGACGTTGTACCAAAAATAATATATCAATCAATATACCCTATATTTATCAGCTAATATCATATCGTCTCAAACCTTCCTCGTTGGTTCAAACGGGAAATGGCAGCAAAAGATTGGATATCAAGGCCTATCTAAATACCATCTTGGACCTTTCCATCATTACCTTAGGACTTTTTCATTTTGTAGCTAATGCTCTTGTTGTATGCCAAAAAGTGGGTTCGAAAACCCATCCTTCAGTCTAGGTGTTCTCGGATATTTACACATGTACCCGGCTAATGTGCTTTTATAGTCTTCCAAATTACGCCTCTACTGGCCTGGTTTCCTCGACTTCTTTCCTCGGGAGACGCCGAAGCCACCATATTCCGTATCGATGGCTTGCAACCACTTTATACTTCGCTGTCAACGATGTATCCATATTTTCCCAAGTCCTCGAATAAATTATAACGCATTGCTGATCAAAGATGGGTACAGGAATTGAGCGGCTTAACGAACATGAATTTCGAGCACGAGCACCTTTAACACCAGAAATGCTTAATATCCATAGGTCACGCACAGAGAAAGTTAACATTATTCTGTGCTACGGTATGATCTAGCGTTTTGACAAATTTTGTGGTCCCGGCGATCTTGTTGGATACCAACAAGACGAAGTGCTTGATTGGCAATTCATCATAGCGACCTTCCTTTTCGGGATTCTGCATTCGTGTACTATCAGGCTTCCTTCTTGATAACAGTGTACTGGCTATCATAATTCTGCTTCATCTTCTAGGCGCATATTAATTGACAAAGAAGCTTTTCTGTTCACAGCACTTGAACCATAATAACAAGCTTTCCTAACCTCTCTAACTAAGCTTCCTCGGTGTCCTGAGAACGAGCAAAAGCTCTTTAAACGATGGCAACCAACAATTTTGGTCTTACGGACAATACATCTTCGCTTTTTCACCAACCTCCCGGCTTTCGTCATGCCACCGGGAATTCGTCACGCTTAGATTGGGGTGGTGATCTCGATTTCACACTCCGATTCGAACAAGGCTTTCTAAGTATTGTACCAAGTGCTTTATTTCTACTCATATTTCCGTTTCGCTGGTTTTACCTTCAGTCAAAACCTCGAAAAGCTGAGAAATATGGTATTCTGGGATCGAGTAAAGTGGTAGGTGCCATTCCCGGTTGGTTTTCTTGGAAAGCTTTCACCTGTATCATCATGTTGATTAACAAAAACTCGTTCAGGGGACTATTTTCCTATATGCGCTTTTACAGATCATCTTGCTTGTTTTATGGGCGCCAAACAACCAAAAGAGGAATTTCCAGCCCACGACGATAGCAGCAAACACGATCGGTATTCTCGACGCTATCGCTCTCGGCGTCTTGAGTTTTCTCGAACATAGGCAGAATATTAGACCTTCCTCCCTCATTACATTATACTTACTTCCCTCGGTGGCTTTTGATGCTGCGCAATGTAGAACGCTATGGCTTCTACCACGTGCATCTGATTTGATTACGTTGCCAATAATGTTCAGTATCAGTGTGGGCTTCAAAACGGTGATTCTGATCCTTGAAGTTATAGAGAAGAGGAGCATTCTGCTTTCGCCGTGGAACCAAGCTTCCCCAGAGTCTCTCGGCGGTGCAATCAACCGTTCAGTGTTTTGGTGGCTTAACGAGTTATTTGTGCGAGGCTTCCAAGGCGTTTTGGACCTCGCATCGCTGTGGCCTACAGATAGTATGGATTCTGAAAAGCTTCTAGCACGACTTGATCACTTTTGGATAAAGACCAAAGACAAAAACTCCAAGCACGCTCTCGCCAAAGCTATGGTCAGATGTTTGAAATGGCCTATTGTAGGAGTCTCACTTCCAAGACTGTGTCTCATAGGACTCAGGTTCTCACAACCTTTGCTTCTTAAAAGCGTGGTTAGCTATGTAAGCCGACCTGATGGAGAAGAGAAGACGAATATTGGGTATGGGCTTATTGGTGCCACTGCGTTAGTTTATCTGGGAAATGCGGTACGTTCATGAATCTCAGTGCCACGTCCGCATGCTGACTCGTGGGTATGATTTTCAAGATTATCAAAGGCGTTTTCAATTACAAGAGAGTACGACTGATGACTATGACGCGTGGGGCTTTGACATCAATCGTATTTGCAAAGGTTATCACTGTATCTGCATCTTTAGCAGAAGCGAAGGGCTCTAACACTCTTACACTCATAACCATTGATGTGGAAAACATTGGTAGGCTCCTTCTGTATATTATTTTGAGGCATTACTGACGTTGAAATTCAATGTACAGGCAAAGGATTCCAGCTCCTCGATGATATTTGGGCGTCCCCGATCGAAGTCGGAATTGCCCTATGGCTTCTATACCGGGAGTTGAGTGTTGCCTTTATCTTTCCGATGATCATTGCCGGACGTAAGTTCTCTTGATGCCATAGGTCACCAATGATAGCTGAACTAATTAACAAAGTCTGTACACTGGCAATATTCAAACTCAGTCCGTTGATCGGAGAAGCTTTTGCAACTTGGAACAAAGGTATTCAAGAACGTGTATCCTTGACCTCTTCAATTCTAGGAAGCATGAAAGAAGTAAAGCTTCTCGGTCAGACCGATCGATGGGGAAAAGACATTCAAGCACACCGTGTCGAAGAACTTGAACTATCCAAGAAAGCCAGAATACTCAGCGTATACCGCCTTGTCATTTGTGAGTTCATCTGATCCCGGTAGATGTTTGAATGCTGATAGCTGTTTAAGCGAGGATTTCAACATATCTCACACCAGCAATTACTTTTGGGGTCTTTATTGTTGTTTCTCATCGTAACGGTGGTGGCTTGTCGGTCTCCACAGCTTTCACTTCGCTCTCACTTATATCGTTGCTGAGCTCCCCACTATCTCTAATGTTTACTGCTCTACCGCAAGCAGCCGTGACATTAGCTTGTTTTGCCAGGATCCAAGAATTTTTGGTTGAAGATGACAATAGTCTTGTTACAGCCTCGAATCAGACTCACAGTATGTATATTTGCCATGATTCGCAACTGTCAAACAGATCAAATTTTACTCCTTGTAAAATGCCCTTCTGAAATCCAATATTAATTCTTTCATGGGTAGACGCAGCTTCGACTGAGCTCGGGGCAGTAAACCAAAGTGCTGGGTCGGCGGAGTTGGAAAGAAGTAGGGACAACATACTTACATTAAAAAATGCATTCTTCGGCACAAAAGAGGATGGCTCCCTCATCACTCACGGCCTCGACCTTAAGATCCAACGTTCCACCCTCACAATGATCATTGGACGAATAGGCAGCGGCAAATCGACCCTTCTCAAAGGTCTTATAGGAGAATTGCCAACAGAAACTGGCTGCGTACAACGTTCATTTGTAGAAACAGCATATTGTACGCAACAACCTTGGCTCACAAATACTAGCATAAGAAACACTATCCTTGGGCCTTTGCCTTTTGAAGCTAGATGGTACGATACGGTGATTCAAGCTTGTGCTTTAGATCGGGATTTCGCTTCGTTACCGCTAGGCGACTTGACTGTTGTTGGGAGCAAAGGTATTTCTATAAGTGGAGGGCAGAAAGCACGAGTTGTAAGTGCAATATTCCTTTTTTGTGTCTCATGGCTGATTTAATAGGCTCTTGCTCGAGCTATATATTCCAGAAGAGATGTTGCGATTATCGATGACATGCTCAGTGGTTTAGATCGGTCTACTGAGGAGTTGGTCTGGAATAATGTATTTGGACCTCGGGGTATTTTTCGTCAATACGGTGTGACGGTGATTCTTGCGACTCATACTAGTAAGTTAATGCTCCCATAGCCAAACGCGACAGTAATTTCACATAGTACGTGATAATGCCAGTTTGCTTGCATTGTGCAAATAAATGATGTAAAAACTGACATCTCACAGCCCGCCATTTACGGGACGCAGACAACATTGTGGTCCTAGGAGACGATGGTACAATCCAGGAGCAGGGCACACTAGAATCACTTAATCTTCAGAACGGCTACGTGAAAAGTCTAATAATAAATTCCAAAGCGCAAGAACGGTCCACCCACAACCCAGCAATCATCGCAGATAATGCTAGCAGTGAAGTGTCCGTGACTGCTAGCAAAGCTTCCGAACAAGAAGAAGACATGCTGCGAAAAACTGGGGACGTAACACTTTACAAATACTACCTAAAATCAGTAGGGTGGAAGGATGGAATTAGTATATTAATCTTGACGATCGGTGCGCAGTTCTGCGTGTATCTTCCTCGTAAGTAAATTTCGATTAGTTAAGGAAAGAAAACACTAATAGATTATAGAGGTTTGGATTAAATTATGGACTGAAGCGGACGCTAAACATCCTGGAGACAGAACTGGCATGTTTTTGGGTGTATATTTGATGTTTGGGGTGCTAGGATTGGTATTTTTGTACTGGGCTATCTAGTGAGTATATGAAGTTTCTGTGACAGTGATGGGATTAATCCGTTCAACCTCTGTATGAAGTCATTCTGTAGTTAATAGCGCTAAACTCTTCATGTAGCTATTCTTTCATCGTCATCACGCCAAAATCAGGGGCTTATTCGCATCAGAAGCTGGTGGATGTTATCATGGGGTACTTCGAATTTATTTTTTGAAATCCACTAAGCTAATACATGAGCAGAGCACCTCTTTACTTCTTTAAAACAACCGATACCGGTGTGACTATCAACAGGTAAAATTTACCCTTCTATCAAGAGACAATACTAAAGAGCCACAGGTTTAGCCAAGACATGTCACTCCTGGATATAGGACTTAGTCCTGGTGCATTCCTTACACTATTCGGTTCGTACTCTTATTCTCACCATGATACTCCCTAACATCTTGGCTTCAGGCTTTGTATCATGTGTAATGGGGCTCATCCTCATAATCATAAGTCTCAAATACATATCAGCAATCATCCCCTTCGCAGTCCTTTTCCTCTACGGTCTCCAACTTTTCTACCTCCGCACGTCCCGCCAACTTCGCCATATGGATCTCGAAGCAAAGTCACCACTGTACACGCATCTTCTCGAAACGGTCTCAGGAATCAGCACAATTCGTGCTTTCGGTTGGACTCGTCCAAACATGACTACCAGTTTAAACTTCCTTGATGTTTCACAGAAACCATTTTACCTGCTAAATTGTATTCAACAGTGGCTACAACTCGTACTCGATCTTTTCACGTCCGGTGTTGCGATTCTGTTCGTCGGAATTGCAGTTTCTACAACTACCAGCCCTGGTTCGGTTGGGTTGGCGTTGCTTAGTATGCTGACGCTTAATCAGTCCTTGGTCACTGCTATTGTAGAGTGGACTGAGCTGGAAACAAGTCTTGGTGCCGTGGCTAGATTGAGGAGTATGGAGTTGAATACGCCGAAAGAAGCTCAAGATGACCAGACCTTGGTGCCTGAGAACGAATGGCCGAGTAAAGGAGAAGTTCATTTCGATAATGTCGTTGCTTCGTACAGGTAACCCTAGAATCTGACCCCTTTCAAATCTTCGCTGACCGCAAAAGCCCTAACACACCCTCCGTCCTCAAAACCATAACTCTCAAAATCAGCGCAGGTCAAAAGATAGCCATCTGTGGTCGAACAGGAAGGTACCCTCTCCCTCCCCCCAACACATTCAACCCACTCACTCACCCGCCAGCGGCAAATCCTCCCTCCTCCTCACCCTCGCCGGTCTCATCCCCCTAACCTCCGGTACAATAACAGTCGACACCCACCCCACTCACCTTATTCCTCTCTCCCTTCTACGCTGTCGTCTCAACTTCCTCCCCCAAGAACCAATCCTCTTTCCCGGTACCGTCCGCTCAAACTTAATTCACACCTGCTGTTCTGATCCCTCTATGATTACCGCCCTCCGTACCGTGCATCTGTGGGATCTACTCCTCTCGCGCGGCGGCCTGGATGCGGATGTTCAAAGTCTGGCGCTGAGTCAGGGCCAGAAAATGCTGGTTTGTCTTGCACGAGCGATCTTGAGGAAGGGTGAGGGTGCAGGCGGGATTTTGGTGTGTGATGAGATGTGTAGTAGTTTGGACGACGAGACGGAGGGGTTAGTAAGACATGTTATTAGTGAGGAATGGGTTGAACGGACGGTGGTTGAGGTTGTCCATCGGTTGGACGGAATAAAGAGGTTTGATGTGGTGGCGGTTATGGATGGGGGGCGGTTAGTAGAGTTTGGTGCTCCTGATGATCTGATGGGAAGGGAAAATGGGTTCTTGAGGAGGTTGATTGAGGGTAGGGGTTAAGTTTATGGGTGGCTTTTGGTATATTGTCTTGCGGAGGATAAAATAAGTATCAGCCACCTGTCCAGTAATCTTGGACTAAATAAATCGACTTCGAATAGAGCGTAAGAAATCTTATTTACTTAAAATAATTCACGAAATATCTTATATTGTTCGAAATTAATCCGCTAAATAACGATGTTTCGTCAATTTAATCGAAGAATATCGTGTTTCGACTACCATTTATTTTGTCCGCCGCGAGATTGTGTGAGAGGTGATTCATCTCGGGTGCGGTTTAGCTTTGCCAGTTACACCTCAAGCTTGTATTTCTCGATCTAACTTGCACCGCTTTCTTTGCAAAATATTTATTGTCTTTTGTACCTTCCCCACTTCATGATTTCCCTAATGCAATGCTCCCTCCTGCTTTCAAGACCATCGAGACCAACAGGTTAGATAATTTGCTATGCCAATGAGGAGTGATATATAGCACTGCATCCCTTTCATTCTAATCATAAACACTTTCGTCTCGCTTAACTCCCAGATCCTCAAGCTCCTAACTCCAGCCCAAACCCCAAGACCCAAAGCTTTCATCTCTCATAAATCTTTCCTCTTCCCCCATCCCTAGCACCCACCATTCTAATCAACTCCCCAATCATCCCCTCCCTCGCTCGCCCATCTCTAAAAGTCCCATTACACATCGCAGCCCGCTCCTTTCCCCGAATCTTGCCGTACCTCGCACCCCTCTGCTTGCCGGTCGGTCCATTCAATACAATTCCATCGCGCGCAACAATACTAGCATAGATGCTTCCCACTGCGTTATCCGCGCAAGAACATGGGGTAGTGCAGGAACATTCATTAACATCACCGTTGTAAACAATAGCATCGCCGTCGATTTCAATGTCGGCGAAGAATGTTGCGTCGCCTGTGTCTGACATAGATTAGATGGTGTTTGAATAGAGAAGTAAATGTGTCGCCTACTTGCTAAAAATGATTGCGAAGGGGTGGCGTTTTGAGCTGAAGTCATTCCATCACGACCTCGCGCGAGGACGAGCTGTTTATCGTCTGAAATCTGCTTTTGGTAGGGGTTGAAAGACTCCCATGGTTTCTGGGCGGAGATCTTTTTTGCAGGCTATTATATCTGGTCAGATTACAAACTGTACTGTAGGTATTTTATGACTGACCTTTGCCTCTCTTACAGAGGTAGCTCTGTTGGATTGTGAGTAAGCCATGGCAACTCCCTTGTTCAGCTTTTCTAGGTTGCTATGAACGGTGGCTATCTGATCTGAATTGACAATCTGAATGTACAAAGACAATTGCGTGTTTTTCTTATCAAGTCGATCAAGATGATCATCAATCTCCCTCTGTTCTGCTCCAGCAATAAGTGTCCAAAGTCGTTTTGGGCTCGAAGATTTCCAATGGCTAGGAAACGGTTGACACAGAATCCTTTGCAGGGCTCTAACTTCGACTTCTAGAGACTCAAGGTAGATTTGGACATATATCGACTGAAGTTGTTCACTGCCTGCAATTTTCTCTGCGATCTGAACAAGAAAATTGAGCTGCGCTTCGTACTCTCTGTAATGCTGGGGAATGGATTTGACGTTCTTATATAACTTTGCGATGAAGAGCACAATACCTTTTCCATACTCCGCAAGCTGTAAAGCTGCAGCGGCAGCCCCCAAAATAGTAATTGCAGCCATTTCAAATCAGCATACCTTCCATTTCATCTTCTCTGGAGTTGTCTTGAAAAGCATCGAGGCCCGAGGGCTTCCAACATCATTGATGACGGCGTTTGCAATGAGGAATCTGTGCAGACCGCCAGCTCTTTACGATGGAAACGGTTTGGCCGAGGAAGTTTGCCTGCTCGAATAGGATTCCTACCGGTTTCGACACACAAGCCGGGCGAGATGTTGGGCATTATCTCTGTAAGCTCAGTGATTCATACGTTGGGTTGCATGCACCACAAGGTTGTGGCGAACATAGATTGGTCGGCGCAGAATTATTGCAGCCCGAAAGAACGGCATGGCGGTAGAGGATGCATTGAACGTAAATGAGATTTAATATGAGAGTCCACAAGAGCGCGTGCCGTTAGGTAGATCTGTTCGCCTTGCCTATATAATTCGAAAATAGAAAGGCGTGGAGGATTCAGTAGACTCTTGTATGGTAGTGACAGCCCGAGAAATAATCTTGCGACGCTGGGATGTATCCCAGCCATCTCGTTTTCACCATGATTGGGAAAACATTATCGTAGACAACAATTAGCTCATCGAGAAGCAAAATATTAAATAGCAAAATGTTAGCATGCTCAAAGTACTAGAAATTTCTTCAAAATTCGTGAGTCAATATGTGCAAAAGTGCCAACCTTGATAAATCTTCAAGACTTCTCAGCAAGATCAACAATTGGGCATCTGCATGGCGGCCTAATAAGTCTGGCGAAGGTGGTAGGCACAAGGTAAATCCGCGACACTTTCAGTCAGCATTCAGCCTTCCCAACTTTATTTTTTTCGCGCGCTGAGAATCTTACGCTCGATACCTGGAGACTTATGTTTCTAGCTGACGCCGACCCAGAAGACCATGGCAACACGAGGGCAGAACGTTCCAAAATTCCATCCTCTGTCTGAGTCCGTCAAAATTGCTGCTATCGAGTGTGGAGAGGTTTTGAGCAAGAGAGATACTTGGAAGACGATCCAGATTCCATCAGATCCGTTAGGGACTTGCGACGCTTGGGACCATGGTCTGGGCGAGAACTTACGACATTTATGTAGCAACTTTGTGGACGAGTTTCCTCCACTGCAGGAAGTATTAAAACACTTTTCTTTTCTGAGGACACAGCTGACTTAACAATAGCAGTCTTCCTCGAGCGAAATCCGATTCAATGCAGTGCGTTTTACCAAACCTGCGAAAGTCCCCATGACACCTGGAGTGAGCGTTGATTTGATACCCGTCTTCATTTCTAGAAGTACACCAACCGTTGAAAATAAGAGATTGAGGATTGGGGAATATGTGCGGTTGACTGAAAGTGGGCTCATTGGGAATATCGATGAAGGAGAAGGGGTTTACTGCATATGTCTTCTTGTTTTGTCGCGGTAACCCTCTTCGGATGATCATCCGCAATTTGGTGTTGGATGCCGGTTGTCTCTATACTTAACGGTAGCTGCATTTTGAGTTGGCGTCAGCAGATTATGGAGTTCCTACACGACATATTGTAGCAATGGATACGGATTGATTCTGTACAGAAAACCACTGGTGTTTACAAGTAGGACGCCACTAAAGGGCCACAGTCCCTGTTAGTGCTGTGTCCAAGCCAGTGCCTGCGGTATCAGAAAAGCGAGACTAAATTTGTGCTAGTCCATTTCTTGCACTGATACAAGAACTTTCGATCGCCGATGCCAGACAGCGCTCTTAAAATAGAATGATTCAAGTTCTCAGTCATAGAGGAACTCTGCATTCTGTTGAACAAATGACTCGTTCAAGAGTTTCGATGTCGAGTTCTAAATGATGTTAAGAAGCTTGCTAGCCCTCTCCTTCTAGTCATATTATCCTGTGTAGTCTGAGTGGTCTCGTGCTTCCAAGCCATGCCAGGAAGAGTGCCCCATCGATCGTTCCAAATTCCGTGATTCTTCCATGATTCCTTGACTCTAGCAGCAGCTTCGGTATTAATTCCAGGAGATGTCAGATTCCAGCCACTATGTGCATCTGATATCATTCGCTGCCGCTCCTGTCTAAGCTGCTGCATAAATTGATGATAGGGTCGAGATGCTTCCTCGGCCTGTGGAATCAATGGAACTTGTTCTGGAGGTTCTGGAGTTCCTTGAGCTGCACCGGCTTCCGACAGGCTAGTCAAGTCATGGTCAAGTCCAAGCACCTTTTCCAGGTGGTCGGTCTCTATACTCTTTTGCGATTCTCTACGACGGGTCTTTGCACTCCTTGGGCCAAATTTCTTTACAGAGTCTAGCGACTTTTCATGTCTCATGCTTTTGTTCACCAAGGGCAGCTTTATTGGAATAGCATCGTCAAAAATAGGGTTAGCTGATCGAATTATCGTTTCTCGATCACCCCAAATCTGGTCAAATTGCTCGTCTGATGACTTGACATCTGCTGGTATTAGTTAAAGCCTAATTGCTTCGACAAGGACGTACACGTAATATGGAGGTCTCCATAGTGAGTGAAATTGCGCGTTCCATTGTGTAGTATTCCGCCATGAGAGCTTACTCCAAAAGTATCTCCATTACGAGGATTGTCAGGGAGAGCCGCCATTGGCACCAGCGGTGAAAGCCTCTAATAACATCAGGCTTCTGAGCGACGATCTCGAGTGGCGATGCGGTATCACATCCGTCGTGAAGAGAAGAGTGCGGGAGATGCGGGGACGAAAAGCTGACTCCCACAGTGCCGTCCATGGATGCATTGTCGACAGCTGTCAGCTGGAAAGTGTGGCGTCAAGCCGCCAATACCTTTGCCTGAAATGTAACGAAATATTCTGTTCCATTGGATATCCAATACAGAGACAAGGCTATCTGAATCAATTTGAATCAGCTTTGGATTAATTTAGGCGACAAGTTAGTCAAAATTTTCTCGAATTACTCTCTTCTGTGCTTTGTCAGAGCTCTAACATGTCCATTGTCTTGCTCTAATGGATGAAAACTCCTGCACAAACAAACACTTCTACGATAAAATTACTAGCCGACAGCTGTGGTCGTATTTCATCGCATAGAGCAGCAACATTTACCGCCTAGGACGGATGCTGATCTTCTACAACAATCAATTTGCTCAATTAGTATTTGATGAGATCTTGTGGTTGTCTCTTTGGGAAAGAAAGAGTACGGAGTAAAGGTATGAAGTTTTCCAGTGACGTGCGTCAAGATCACGTGCACTTCAGCGTGCTTCGTTTCACTGATGTTTGGATTAAAAACGTTAGGAAGATCGCACCATAGTCCGTATTCTCTTCTTTCTGCGCAAAAAGCTATAGCTTCGTCACTCCAGGACATCAAAAATTGAAGCTTCGTCACACATCAGGTTCATGGCATGAAATCCGTGTCTGACATCGATGTTTGCAATGTGAAGAGGCCAGTTAACCAAGAGTTCAAAACGATGCCATTCTTGGGCATCAGCTCTTCTTCTTTTCGTGCTTCTAATTTTCGATTTCCTATCTACATTCATATAGGCCACCCTCATTTTGAGGGTCCGGAACGGTCAAAACCCATTAGAGGTGTCCTTTGGCTAATTTAGCGAGGAGCTGAAGGACCAACCGAACCCCAGAATTGCCACCAATTTCCACATTCGTTGTACCGCAGCCACCAGAGATTTCGTTGGAAATCCTCGACCAATGCTACCTCCGTATTCCGGCCACAAAGCAATGGACTAGCATGTTCCTTCCGTGAATTCTGTTATGACCCATGAGCTGATTTACGGTACAATGACCACGCACAGTTCTTACAATCCTCACAGCTCTGCCCCAACAGGATCTACACGAGGGGACCAATAAGACCGTAAAGCATTACACCATATCTTCGTGGCTTACAAGGAGCATTTTGGCTACTTTTTTGCCCGGAAGCTCTCAGATATCTCTTCGAGATAAACCTCTGGCAATAGTCGGTAGGGCACATAGGAGTCTAGAAAATCGAGAATCGTGAGTGTCATATGGTAAGGCTTCTATGCTTCATGGAAGGAATCAAGAAGCTTCTATCAAGCCACAGTGAAAAAGAAATAAATTTCCCCAGCATTGGACTTGGGCTCCGGGAAGAGCCAACCCACATTTTACCCCAGACTTACGGTTGGGTCAAGCCCTGTTCGTCAAGCCTTAGCAAGACACTTCAAGACAATTTTATTGACATTGATACCGTTGATACGAAACCGTCTGTGTGATATGCACAAGGTCTGGAAAATCCGGGGGTTCTAATTCGTTTCCACGAAGAGTCTGTTCGCCATTCTTCGGCATCAACCATATGTGTTATCCATGGTGTCTGAGGTATTCCATGAGGGTTCAACAAATTCTCTTGCCAAAGCTATGGCAAATATGGAAATTCAGGGGAATACACTACCTTTAAGTAGGAAGCAATTCCAACAAAGCCTTCCCAGTTTCTGCGTCTGTGAGCTTTTAGGCTTTGAGGCACTGTCTTCTATGATCTTTTGCATTTCCAGCCCTTCTTCATCGGTAGCAGAAGCACATCTACCATGATAACATTGCTTTCTGAGCACTATGTTGCCGAGCCGGTAAGTGGAGCTGACCTCCAACTTGCATCTCTTGCATGGGGCTTTACAATCGGATTTGGTTTTCTTACAACATGGACTGCAATCAAGCAAACAGCGGACATACAGCGGAGACATGGATACTCGAAACTTAACACCCCTTACATATGGATGGTTTGGCTTGAGATATTGGTTTGCCTCACATTTTCGATAATATGCTGGCTCCATTTGAACGAGATCATACCCCCTAGGTACGCCCTTCATGCTCGACATATGCGCTTTAACAATCAAGCTAACTCGGTGCAGTTTTGCATTCTTCTTCGTCATCCGTGGGTCTATCATCTCGAACATACCAGTATAAATCTAATCTGTAGCAGTTACAACATGGGCGCTTCAAGTTCAGTTCCTCCTGCAAATCATCATCAACAGGGTTTCGATTCTTCTCGTTGACCGACAAAAAGCCATGAGACTCAGAATAGGGGTTGCTGTTCTCATTACAGCTATCAATATCTCCGTTTATTGCATCTGGGTTCCTGCAAGGCTCCAAGTCTCTGCTGAATATGGCCGCATCAACAATATATGGGATCGGTGTGAGAAAGTCATCTATCTTCTGGTCGACGCGGCGTTGAATTGGTACTTCATTCGCACTGTTCAGCACAAGCTTGTTGATCAAGGCTGTAAGTTGATAATATTCCTCTCTCTCAAACGATTACGTTTGTCAAATAGTCTGGTGATTTCTTATCACTTGGATTTTTCCTACCCTGCATTCAAATCCTTCCGCCCATTTGGCGAGAAGTTTAAACTAACAGTGGTAGTGGTCAAATATAATCGTCTTGTCAGATTCAACATGTGGATTATCGGCCTTTCGCTCAGTATGGACGTACTTATCATTAGCATGATGAGTTTGAAGAATTCCTTCGTGTGCGTTTCAATGTAATACTTTTTCTACTACGATCACTAACATAGGACGCAGATACATGCAATTCCACCCATTTGCTTATATCGTTAAACTCAACATTGAAAGTAAGAAACAATCCAACCCCTACATCTCTCATCACTTGCTTCCAATCATATCTCCCACACGTTTCCTTTCCCTTCACTCAACACACAAGCTACTCTTTCGTCTTTGACTCAGAATACTGACAAAAACCAGTGTCAATGGCCGATCTAATCGCCAAAGTCTCCCGCATCAACCCCAACTGGCAAGACCCAGGCCTCTCCCGAACCCAAGACTCCTCAAACATCACAAAATGTTATCACGACTCGCAATCCCGCCCTAAACCTTCATACCTCGAATCATACAGCCCGTCCTCCGACGTCCCTATGGACGATATGCTTCATCCCAGGGACTTAACGCCGTCGCGGGCTGGAGGCCTGGAGATACATATGAGTAGTGAGGTAAGGATTGATGTCGAAAGAAGGGATAGTTCGGGTACGAAAGAGGGAAGTGAGTTGGAGTTAGTTAATGCGGCGGGACCGATGGAAGCAGATGAGATTGTGAAGGAGGAAATTGAGGGTAGGAGGAGGGCGAGGAAGGATACATGAAGATGTGCTCCTAGAAGGTGAGCTACTGCCACAGCTGTGTCGCAAGACTGACGGGACCGCATCTGAGTGTGTCAGTAAAAGGAGGTTGTAGTCCGTCTAATAAGTCATATTTACTTTATTTTGTTCAATCAACTTAGTATAATGTCTCTTTGTACCAAGCCAAGTTATTTTATTACGGAAGAACTGTTTTTGAAAGCCCAATTTTCCATATTGTTATACTTAGAGATTGTGCCGTTAGCCTAGTCACTTACTAGAGGTATCTAAAAACTCAACATCCAAATCACGGTACCTCCAGAGTAATGCGCGTTGGTACGGTACGAAATATCATTCAAAATATCAACTACGTTTTATCCATGTTTGCCGCATTTGTTCTACTTGTGCTTACACCATAAAATCATTCAGTAATCCAACGATATCACATCTCTTCCTCGCTAGGTAATTTCTTGGATCCCATTATTTCTCTGCTTTCATCAAGTGTTCCTTGGCCATTCGCGTCCGTACAGTCTGCCTATCAGCCACCTACATACCTCGTTCTGGCATCTTGACATCTACCCCCGTCCCTCGACGTTCATCCAAAATTGAACACTCCTCCCATCATGCTTCCTATACCTCAGCGCCTCAAGATCAACATCATCAACCATCCTAACCTTCCCCGCGTTAGCACCACCCTCTCGGCCCAGACCGACCACTTACATTCATATACATCTCCAGATCCCCATCCCTAGTCGTAAACATACTGCTCCCGCACCCGGAACAGAACAAATGCACACACCCCGTATCACTCCTCACATAACTAGCCAGCTTCTCTTCCCCTTGGATGCTTATGTCTTTTTTGAGGCGACAGATATTCAACGTCCCGTTTTTGGTGCAGAGAGTGCAATTGCAGTTTGTGACGAGCGTAGAGGTTAATGGCATGGGAAATTTGAACGTAAAATTAACGGAGCGGCAGTGGCAGGAGCCGCTGTAGGTATAAGTGGAGGGTTGGGATGCCATTGTGGTGTGGAAATGTATTGGAATGGGAGAGAAGTCGGCGGGTACCTGTTTTGTTTGTTGAGGTCTTAGGTCGGACGGTAAAGTAGATTTCACTACTCTACAACGTGTCCTCTCAATTGCATGATAGATACACATGGCACTAGCCCAAATTCGTAGGTGGAAGTGGGCTCAGCCCAAATTGCAACAATGTTGGTGCATGAGGCGCATCACATGATGAGTTGTGATAATGTTGTAGCTTGGTTGGTCTTAAATTTTCAATTCTCGTGTTCTATAGGTCAAACTGAAGTTCATAAAGGAGCGTCTGTGCACACAGCTATTCATGTATGCGTTTGTTAGAGTCAGTTGGAACCTTTATCCAAATCGGGGAGTGATCTGCTTCAGCGAGACTGGAGTTGGTCACAGAGTACTTTGAGATAAGCACATTGTTCTTGAAGAATCATTAATCGCTGAAGGTGATAATAATAAGGTCGTACAGTGAGTCGTGGGTCCGTAGCTTTGTTTGTTCTTCATTTCAATAAGGTACTTGTTCTCGGTCACTCAATTCGTGAATATTCGTGTTTATATTGCCATATTCCCACAGCCTGAGTCTGTACTCCCACGTCCTATCACGACTCGAGATTTTGCAGTATCAAAGCTAGTGGATAGATCGTAAGTCACGATGGTTCCTGTTTCTTTTGGAATGCGTACCTGGGATTCGTCAGTCTGTTGGTATGTTAGTTGGTTGGGTTGCTAAGTTGTTGGGTTTTAATATTCAACAGGAATATCAGGATGAATCATAGATATTGAAGCCCTTCCTCTTGCTCCTTACAAGAATCCCATCCCCCGTTCTATAATGTCTTTATCTCATGTCTATTTCTAATTTGAGTATCTTCCAAATCCAGATCCGACCTGCCCTCCGTCGGCACACGCCAAGTTGAACAAGGCAGATTTCCTTGGTGCCACTCTAGAGAGTAGACACGAACCAAGTGTTAATTGATACAGAGGCTGAGCATTTGGATTTTGGGAATTGTTCTTGAAAAACACGTTGGATATTCCTGAGCCCTGAGAGTGCCACAATTCGCAAGGGTATACCAATTCCTCTAGATGCAGATCACGCTATGATCTATTGAATATTTTGTACTTTTGACAGTGAGGATATCAATCGCGATTGCTCCTCCACATGGATTACGTTGATCCACTATGTAGGGAGAAGCCACTGCAAATACGATGGTATATAACAGATGTTCCCGTTGTTTTCATGTTAATTTCATCATCGCTTTCATCAACGCCCACTTACATCTTTTCATTCAGCATCTATCTTGCAGCGCAAGAGTGATCATTCGTATTCTTTGCACTTCCATATCAGAATTTTTTTCAGCCAGCTTCATTTCAAGCATAGCACGATGCGTGTCTTGGAAACTTTCGTTGTTACCGTCCTATGCTTTACACACAGCTTTACTAGACACGTAAATGCTAGAGTCGTTATTGGTGCTAATGATCTAGTATCTCTGCCTCAAAGTGTACATACGCAAGATGATTGTAAGTAAACCAATCAAAACGTCCCCCCATGAAGTCATATCTAACGAAGATAGTGTTCAATCCCCACGCAAAGCGAGAAGATCCTGTCCTCGTGCCCAGAGCGAATTCCAAGAAGACACCAGTTGCCGCACCCAACAAAAAAGTTACAACTTCGGCTTTGGCTAAGATTCCAAAGTCTACGCCTGTTTCAAAAACTAGGTCGCCAGCGAAGTCTCCCACAAAATCAGCTATCAAATCCAACGCCAAATCTACTACTACCAAATCCACTGCTGCCAAGTCCGGTACTAGATCTGCTACCAAAACCTTTGCTAGAGCTACAGGAACTGCTTCTCAGGGTGCAAAGAAAACCGGAAATGCTGATATTCCAGTCGCATCTGACGCGGCCGAACTTAGAAAGGACATCCCTGCTGACCTCGATCCTAAAGATGTGCCGAAGGGCAAAGTTCCAGACTCCTGTCCTATGCCGGCAGGAGGAGGTTCAGGTACCGGCGCAACTCCTTCTGCTGCTGCTACTGCTTCTGTCAAAAAGCCAGACATTAGCAAACGATCTCCGTCTTCTTTCTCATCTCATACGCGCGCTGCAAGAGCAAATAAAGATAAGCTTCATTCCTATCTTTCTCGCCAGAGACAAGCCAGAGATGCTGCAGCCGACGCTAGAAGACAATTGCGTGAACTGGATCAAGACCTCTTGGACCACAGAGACGCCCGTATACACTTGACAGTTGAACAGCGTATGCTCTATCCTCTGCCTGCTTTTAGCACAAACTAAAGGAATGTTAGGTGAAGAAACTATACGCGACATAGCCCGTCTCGAACGACGTCTCCGCGACCTCAAGGCTGACCGTCGGAGGTTTAAGCGCTCTATCCAAACGTACACTCGAGACCTTCTTTACGAGCTGTGTTGGCTGGAAGATTACGCTGATAATATGTATGTGTTTCCTCTTTTCTAAATAACAAGTTCTTACTAATACTTCGTAGGCAAAGATCTCTCCCAGCTGAAATCGCGGAGATGATTGCTGATTACTCTTATTATGAAAGACTTGCCGAGGATGATCCTGATGCTTAGATGGTGAAAACCAAGACTCTAGGCTTTTGCTTGTTCTTTTGATTGAGTCTTGTAATATAATATGTTTGAATGGCGGGCGGTTTTGTGTGTTGGAGTTGGGGTTGGGGTTCTTTTGTTTCACCTGCCTTTAGCGGTGCACTGTATTGTATAGCATCGGGCACTAGTCACAGCAATTTTGTTAGAATATCGAATTTCTTGTTAAACCTGTAGTATTGATCTAGTATTGGTCACAGCTAGCGTGGGATTTTTACAATCTATTACGAATATGCCCTTTCGAGATAATTTCAAGCGGAATGCCAGCTTGCCTATCATCACATCTTCCTCGAGCGAGTAATTTCCAATCCGTCGTACAGGTAATAACATAATATTCGCCACCTTCGATAGTGTGAAGACAATACGAACGTAAAATATCCACTAAACTTGGCTGAGCAATGAAACCTTCGTTCTCATCAGCATCCTGGATAATCCCAGTGTACCCGATGTTGTTGAGTCTCCACAAGTACACACAAGTCCATCTTCTGCTAGCGCAAAACTACTGTCCGCACCACACACAAACTTGGTATTTCGTGTAAGGTGCCAATTACGAGGGACAAACGCAGGGAAAAGTATCGTCTGCACGCGCAAGTCAAGTTGTCCTTGCTCGCGAGCTCCCTAGGCACAGATTCATCTTTCCTTGTTCCAAGAGGGATAGTACGTGATACACCTCCTTCTGCTAGGCTGGTAATATTTCAGAGGTGCGGAATGAGCACTGCAGTCTGTTGAACGCTTTGGACAACGTTTTTCGTTTTTGCTGCGAGTTCTGTCCTTTCTGGGTGGAATCTTATAGAGCCATCATTCCCTGTACGTCTATCAAAACAATGAATGCAAAGTTTGCAATTCTTATTCATCTTGAAATATAAATTGTCTTCATGACGAAATACTAGCGGTGGTTCTTTGTAAGTGCATTCCGAGTAACATATAGAAGTAGGTAAGGTCGCTCAGATGGTACGGAATGTCGGGAGATCTGCGAATTAACATTCTACATATTAATCTGTTTCCGTACTTGAAACTTAAGTCCTAGTGGACTCCATATCTAGCCCCTCGTTCCCTTTTACCCTTTCTTTTAATCACTTTTTGGACGCCTTTTAATCTATACTCCGACCCATTCTCGCAAACACAATCCCAACGCCATCCTAATACCGTTCATTCAATGAATAATTTCGCCTCCACAACATCCTCTCTCAGCTCTTTCCATTGACTAAACTCCACCCTCCCATCCTTAATAACAGCGAGCAGATGTTTCTCGGGTCGATCAAGAAACTCTATATCGTCTAGAGGATTCGCGTTTAAAATCAGTAGATCAGCAACAAATCCTTCCCTCACCTGTCCTAACTCACTCTCCATCCCCAACCTCTTCGCCGGATTAACAGTAGCATGTTTCAAAATCTCACTTGAACTCAAAACCCTCCTCCGCAACCCAAACTCCTTCGTCTGTAACATACCCATCGGCCCCAACAAGTCCGTCCCAAAAAGCATCGTCACCCCCGCATCATGCGCAATCTTCAAGGCCTTCAACCCAGCCTCCAAAACCCCCTCATTCTTTTCTTGACTCCCAGCAGGCACATACCCCTCAAACTCCTCCATCCCCATCGCCGAATACGTCACCAACGTCGGCGTCAAAAACACTCCACGCTCACTCATCATTCGCGCCGTCGCCTCATCCAAAAGGTTTCCGTGCTCAATCCCAGTCACCCCATTCTCAACCGCATGTCGAATTGTCCGCGGCGTATACGCATGCGCAGTCACATACGTGCCTGCTTGTTCCGCGACGGTGGTGATAGCACGTACTTCCTCAGGCGTAAATTGAATCGACTCCAACTTATCAGTCGGACTCGCTACCCCGCCACCGCTCATGATTTTGAGAAACGAAGCACCCCGCCTCAGTTCCTCGCGCGCGCCGTGAAGACAAGACGCTACGCCATCGACGCGCCGCGCGAGCTGGAGGGAGGAACAACATGTCGATACATCGTGGGCTCCGCGCGTGTCCCCGTGACCGCCGGTTTGGCTGAGTGCTTTCCCTGCTAGGAATAGACGTGGGCCGCGGATGAGACCGCTTTCAACGCCTTCTTTGAGCGTGAGGGTTGCGCCGCCACAGTCGCGGACGCTGGTGAATCCCCGTTGCAACATTTGTCTCAGAAGATACGGTTCTTGTAGTTTTCCTACGTCGGCGGGGAGGTTGAAAAGGTCTGAGAGGGTGGGGGGCCCAGGGACGGCGCATATGTGGACGTGGCTGTCTATTAGGCCTGGAGAGATGTATCTTCCTGTAAGATCGAGAGTGATTTCGTGGGGATGGGAAACGAGGTCGTAGTCTTCTTCGTACGGGGTTATGGAGGTTATTCTTCCATGGGAGAGTTTGAGGGTCTGGTGGGGTATGAGACGGGACGTAAGAGGGCAGATTATAGTTGCATTTTGGAGGATGTAGGTTTTAGGAGGAGAAAGCTTCCAAGGAGGTTGTAGAGGGGTCATGGTGAGTTCTTTGTTAGGTGTGGCTTCGTGGGGTGATGGTGGTGGTGGTGGTTATGATAGATCTTGATGAAATGATGAAAATCCAGAGGTGGGATGTAGAAATGTGGTGTCGAGCTGTAGCTTGAGTTTTATTCTGAGAACGAGCGTGAGAAACAGCTGACTGGGACGATTAGATTGAGTTGAGGGTCATGATATATTCTCGAATAACATCGACGTCTCCAATCAGTAGTACTAAAAATCAATGTTGCTTCTCAATTCGCACCAACCTTGAACCGTGAAAGATAGCGCGCCATAGCGTGCATAGAGAATGAAAATGATTGGCCATTAAGCGAGCTGAGTTTGCGGGGGTGGAGCAGGATTCGTACTCCATCACGTGGCAGGGGCATATCTGTAACCGACTCACAATCAAGAACCTTTTTCTCCCCCCTTTAACCATTGCATATCAACCGAGTATTCTCAGTTATTGATCTGATATGAGGTGACATTATTGTTTCAGTACACCGACAGTCATTCGTGTAACGTACTCAGCCTATCAGCCCTTGATTCAATTCTCTCATGCAACTCTCACCATGTACAAATCTCTCCCAACAAAATCCCCGAACATATTGAAATGGACTTTCAATCCCCGTCAAGCTCAACCACAGCGGGTGACAAGGGTGAGAACTCAGCGTCAAATAAACAAGCCGCTTGTTTGAACTGCCGAAGAAGTAAGACGAGATGTCTCCGAGATGCTGGAGTGCTTCAGTGTAAAAAATGCGCTCAGAGCGGGAGTGAGTGTATCGTACCCGAATACCGAGTTGGAAGGAAGAAAGGAATCAAGAAGTATGTCATGTTTCGTTTGTTAGTGCACTCTTATTGATCATAAGCAGTAAACGCGATGGTTTAGAAAAAGCAGTCTATCGCATCGAACAAGCCATCAAAAAGCACAAGACAAATGGCAGTCATTCAATTAATGACCAGATGAACCAACTTCAGGGTCTACTCAGCAGCGCTCAGCAGTTATTACCTGAAACCCAATCAGAAGAACAAGATGAATATCAACGAGATGACAGTTCTTCTAGCCCTCAACAAAATTTGACGGCTAATGAAGGTGGGAATGATGGGTTCGCTGTTCAAGATGCGGAGAATCCATTGCAACTTCTGGCGAGAGCATCAGATCTATCGGGTTCAGCTAATGCAATTTCTTTACCAATTACAAGACCGCTGAATAAAGGAGATAAAGCCTTGAGAAGTTTCTTTGGTCCTTTTCGTCCGAGTCTTGATAATGAGCCTGACATTGATCCTATCGAGATGGGTCTTGTTACTGTTGAGGAGACCAGTGCGCTGTTTTCATAGTAAGATGATTTCGTCCCCTCGAGTCATAACTTCACTAATACAGCCAGCTTCCATGACAATCTATCCCATACAAGATGGGGACTAGATCCTATCCTTCACACACCTCAATTCGTCCGCCAACAATCAGCCTTTCTCTTCACCTCTATCCTAGCAGCTTCATCATTATTCATCCCCACCGCAGGTGCCATATCCAAGCGGTTAAACACCCACGTCAAATGTCTGGCGCGCAAGATATTCGCCTCGGGTAACCGATCACCAGAGATTGTGCTCGCGTTCATGATCAATATCCCTTGGATGGCTCCTGGAAAGCACTGGTCAGATGATGAGACATGTTCGTATATGAGCATGGCTTTGACTATTGCGTTGGATAGTTCGCTTGATAAGCTGATTGTTCCGAGCCCTAGCGAGCTTCAGGGAAGTGCTCGGAAGGGTAGGTCACAGAGTGAGTGTATTACTGCCAGGAAGGCTTTGGATATGGATGGATTTCCGGATGTTGACCCACTCTCTGATTTCGGGAGGAGGTTACTTCGACGACGGGAAAGGATTTGGTTGGCATTGTTTGTGCTTGACAGAGGGTATGTATATGCTACTCAAACTTTGAAGTATGCTAACACATCACAGAGTCTGTCTCGCTCGGGGAAGAAGTTTTATCGTTCCAGTCACCCCTCTCATCGAAACATGCGACGAATGGCACCGCTGCTCAATAGCCGACATCTGGGACAACTCCATCGTCTCCTCCACCGTTCTCCGTCGAGACCTCGTCACCCTCATATCCGAAGTAAAAAAAGCCTGCACCCACAAACCCAACAAACACCTCGACGCCGCCGCACTCGTAGAAAAGTACCTCCCTCCAATTTCCTTCCCCTTCCGTATCCGCACACAAAACCAAAAACTAACCTACCCCCCAGCCTCCGCCAAAAAATAAACCACTTCTTCACAACCTGGTACACCCACTGGTCACCCCCTCACACGCCCACCCCCCCATACGTCTCCATCCTCGTCCTTCACGGCCGCCTCACCCTCCACACCTCCCTAATAAACCACTCCCCGCTGCCCCTTCTAAAAACCTTCTTCCACACCGCCACCCTCACCTCCTCCCTCTCGGTTCTCCGCGCCGCCGTGCGCGGCGAATCCGCACTCACCTCGCTCCCGAACAACACGTGCATCATGATCACCTTCGCGGCGTGCATCGCGCTCACGCTCTCCGGCGCCGATCTCGCGCCCAGCACGCGCTTCCTGATCGAAGAATCCGCTGGGGTGTTGGAGCGCATCGGCACGGTGACAAGTCATCGCAATGGCACGAGTTATCTGTATGGACGCCATTTACGGGGTGTCGTTGCGGCGACGACATTGAAGAGGCCGAGCACGCCGACGTGTAATCGCATGACGGATCCGCCGTTGTATTTTCAGCCTGGGTTGGCGGCCGGGGTGGGCGGGGTGGGCAGGGAGGGTGGTTGTAATAGTGCTGGTGTTGGAGGTGCGCAGAGGGCGCCCGAGGTCTTGCGGTTTTCGGATATGAGTGAGGATCAGATCCAGGAGGTTGTTTTGGGGGCGGGGGAGGAGGAGGGGGGTGCGGGGGATGTTTGGGGTGCGGATGGCGGGAGTGGGATTGCGGTTTCGGGGCTGAATTGGTTGGATTGGTTTAATGTTGATGTTGGGGGTGGGTTGTCGTGAGGATGTGGTTTTGGTTTGGGGGATGTGAGATGGTGATTTGAGGGCGTTGGGTTTGCAGATGTGGATATGATTGTACAGAACGTACGTTAGGCAGTAGTATTACCTAAAGCGTTTGTAAGTCCGTAACATAATACATATACCGCTACAATCGAACCTTGGAAATTTATACCTTATTCCCTCTAGCCCACACGAATAAAGAACCACTAAATTCGTTAAATTAATTTAAATCAATATTATCAGTGCACACTTAATACAATACCTAAAACATCCTCATCCTCCATCCAGAACCCAACTTCTAATCACATCAAAGCACTCAGGCTCCTCCCTATACTCTCATCTCTCCATTCCTAAACCCACAACCCCCCATATATCTCATCATCAACGTAACCCGTACCCTATACCAGTAACCCGCGAAAAACAATAACCCGCAAAAAAAGGGTTGATGAGAGGGGTTTGGCACTTGTTGAATTTTGATATTAGGGGCGTTATAGGTGTGTTTGATGAGAATATGAGATGAAAAGTGGTGTTTTAAGGGTATGCTATGTATTTAGATTTGTCGACATCTGTTTATAATTTAATATCTATAATTTCAATCGATACACTATACCTTCCTCCGATTAACTACTAAAACTCCGTTACCCATCTAAAACTCCGTTACCCATCTAAAACCCCATTACCTATCTAAACTCGTGAGAACCACAAACACCGCACAAAAACCAAGAGCCTCAACCAATCTACATATCTACATTCTTACGGTACTCGTCGTATTAACATTCCCACTCCACACCTACTTCTCGTGGTGTATATCCGCTATTCTACTTCCTAAAGCCAAAACGTGCCTACAAAGACAACACGTCCCTCCCTAGTCCCACGATATGACAGTACGCCACGCAGAAACGCAGTTCATCCTCGCCTTGAGTAACTTAAACTACTATCCGGGCTATATTTAAGCTGCTCGACACTACGACAGATTGACTAAGTGATACGGCGAGTCGAAGACTCTTCGGTAGTTTGAAATCGTGCTCGGATTGAGCGTTGGTGTTGGGAGAGTGTTTTTATGTGGAGTTGGTGTTTGTGCTGACAGGAAAGATAAACAAAGTGTACCACCCCAACCCTCTAATTCCAACATGCATCATTTCACGCCTTAGCGATTACAGGCGAAGTGCATGATTTTCAAAGTTACCACCGAACAGTGATAGAATAACGTTTTTAATTCAACGCACTAATCTATCCACCCCAAATCATCGCCTTATATCGCAGACACATCCTACCAATTCTATCCCATCCTAACATACACACCCCCATTCACATCTCCCTAAACTTCAACGCGCGTCTAGATCCATACCCACATCATCCATCCTTCCCCCCATAGCCTTAACAAAAAGCATCCTCTAGATCTCCTCAAACTTCAACGCTGATACTCCACACACCCCAACCTGCAGGTGCACCAACACCCCATACCGAAAACCTTGGCAAAGCTTTTCTCACTTAAGCTTATATGCTTAGTATAGATATATCTGACCGTCTTATGCTATGATATGCATGAGTAGTTGAGTTGCTCCAATAGGATGGTCAGAAAGTGGCGCGCTATGGATGGATACTTCCGGTCGTTGGATGTTGAGCGGGCTGGATATGCAGGTGTGGCTTTGTACAGTCAGATTCATCTGGTGTATTGTGAATGCTGTTTCGAGGTATTGTCTAGGCCAACATTTCGACTTTCTTCTGGAAAGGACCTTGTCTTGGACTCTCACAGGTTGATATTTCAGGAGACTCGACATCACAGCAATCGGACTCGCCTTGACACCGACAGTATGACTGCGTCCAAGCCGTAAGCTCTCCACCTCCTGCTCTTTCCGCTGTCATCGCTCTTAGACTTCAAAAGCAACCGGCTATCACACCCTTTCCCTTCCCACCCAAAATCATCACACCGTTTCTCACTCAAGGCGCCTGGCTCATCCCGGGCGGAAACATCGGCGCATTCGGACTATGAATCGAAGCACTCCGATCATGCTGCTGCTGCTGCTGCTGCGCAAACGGCGTATCAATCGCACCCCAGTGCGTATACGCCGACGGCGGCGGCGCCGTGGCAATAAACTCCTCCTCACTAATAACCGGCGGTATATTATTGACATACGCATGTTGAAAACCCGGCATGCTAACCCCCGTGATAGGGAAACTGTTGTCCACGGCCCCCGAATCGAAGTCCGCGCCGAAGAAATCTTTGAGTTCGAAGGGGAGGTCGACGGGACCGCGTGCGTACCAGCCGTTGATGACGTTGCCGTTGCCGGTCTGGGGAGGTTGGTAGTTGTAGTCGAATGTAAATGTTGCTTGTTGTTGTTCCATGTATCGGCGGAATTCTTCGGCTTTTTCATGTTGTTCTGATCGCGCGTCGAAGATTCCGACGATTTTGGCGAGCTGAAGTGATACTTGGGTTAAGATGGTGAAAGTCGGACATAATTTGACATTTTCAAGCGCGCTCATGACGTCTCTGACGGCCGTCTTGCGAGCCAGATCTTCCTCTGTATCTTTCTCGTTCCAGGGACGGGCTAGAAAATCCAGGGATAGGATAAATACTGAATGATATACATAATAAGCGTCCATCCACGCTCTGCCGTCAAATGTTCCGCTCGACAACAGTTGCTGAAGTAATTGTGCGGACTTTTTGGAACATGTCCCACAGGCATCACTCAATCTCATCTCTTCATTATCGAGATCCTGGGAACGAACATGTCGTCCCAATTGTCGAGCAAGCTGTACTCCGACCTTGCGTAGTATAAAAGGACGAGTAACAAGTGACTGTACGTGATGAAACTGAATATGCAACAACACCACAGCTCTGCGATGTCTAGCATTTTGCGAAAGGAATTCCAAACGTAGTTGTGGCGGTAATCCATGATGCCAAGTATCGAGATCTAGAAGAAACTGGATCGCAACAGGACACTTTGGAGTGTCATTTTGATCATTGGGCTTACTCGGCGAAGCGTAAATATTCCTTCGAACGTCCGACAATAATTTAGCCAATCTGATAGAGTGCTCAACATATCCTTGAGGAACAGACTCGCCATGATCCAGAACCATCTCATCTGGAAAGGTCACATTGACTTCCACATCATCAATGGCGCATGGTCTACCCAGAATCGCACATTGATATTGCTCAAAAGAGTATGTCGTCCACCAAACTCGTTTCCGCACTTCCCGTTCAAGTTTGTCAAATCCACCCGAAGTTCCTTCTCGATGCATGCCCAAAGCCATGGCCATAATCGCAGCACATCCAAGCAACATGAATGCGCTATTTCGTTCCGTGCAATTGTGCTGATAAAGTTGAAGAAGCAAAAGAGCTTGAACATTGATCAGGGTCGTCGCACTAACAAGTTGATGCATTCTCGCCTGTACGAGATCCAGATAGTGGCGCTGTATCTGGATTGAATGTGGAACATTTTCTGACTCTAGTGCTTGAGCACCAAACACCATCATCATGAAAACGCAACATATCCAACCCGGCTCCACATCGCGCATCAGTAAGTTCGGATGCTCCCACATGGCCTGATACCGGTTTAGAAAAGTTGGTCTATGGAAGAGTAAATAATTCGGATGACCGTTCTCGAAATATGCATGTATGAAGGCATCGCAGACTCTCTTTTCCGGGAGCATGGAAAGCACAGTGGCTCTCTTTGATCTTGCAGGAGCTGATACTGACGTGCTCACGGGTCCAGCCAAGTATGGAGGTCGTGTCTGAATTTGAGGATTTCTTTGACGAGAAGATTGCCCTCGGTCGGCACCGTCTGAAGATTCATCACTTTCTTCCTTGTTGATCGGGTCAAGTGCTTTGCTCCATGTTGAGCCAGCGAATTCCGATGAGATCTTGCTTCGCTCGTCCACTAGGTGGTCTTCCGGCTGGATGGTTCTCAGAGCTGCATTGAACTCAGCAACCATATTCCGAACCGTCAAAACGAAGCCAAATGAGCTTGATGGGCCAATATAATGAGAGGGTCCGTTTGGCATGGGAACCAGCTTTTCCTCTTTGGCCTTTGCCGTCTCTTCATCATCTAAACTTGGCAGCTCTCTCGACGGAACAGACGGACTCCTGTTTGAATCTCCTGAGACTTCTCGCGGGGAGCTTGATATCTGTTTTGCAGGAGGGTTGCTGAAAACTTCATCCGCCACCGTCTGCTCATTGAATACCGGAAGAGCGATACCATGATCTTCCGCAATGGAATAAAGCTCGTCAATATTATTTGTGTCATTCGACGGAAACAGCCCTTTGATAAGAGTATCCAAAACACGATATCGTACACTCAACGTTTCCACACTTCCGTAGATTCGTGTTTTCCGAGGAAGCGTAGACTCGCATTTTGCGCCCACCTCGAGGCAACTCACGCACGCATCATGTGCATCTGCACCATTTCCACGAGTACATCTGATCCTCCTCTTCTTGCACCTGTCGCAACTTACCAGCGCACGTCGTCTGAGATGGTCCGGGATCCGCGCCTTTCCCGCTTTCTTTCCCTTACTTTGCAGATCCATCGTGGGGAGGACAACGTTTGTCTGCCGAGCGGCGGCACCGGTGTCGGAATCTGGAACGGACGATAATACAGGAACGTGACTGTGTTTGCGATGCGAATTATGACGGTGTTATTCAATAGTGAGTGCGAAATTACATCTCAATTATCCAGAATTGCCTGTAGATGTGGATGATGAGTGGTGGTCAGGGGAGATCATCGGAGGTTTCTATGTGAGGAGATGCAGGAGACGTCTGGTCTGGACTTTGGCTAGATTTGGATCGGATTAGGCGGCGCAACCTTGGGGGCTGCAGATGTTCGGTGGGTTTTCATGCATAGAACAAGTAGCCTTGCCTCCGCCGCTTCTAAATATTTAAAGGGACTCTAAGCGGTGGGAATAATCTTACACGGTGCAAAGAGCTGGTGAAGAATGCGGGATGTTGGAGAAAGATGGGGGACCGGGAGTCGTGACAAGTGAGCCCGGGAGTGGTGATGGTGGGCCAAGCTTTTCAGTGTTAGGTCATCTTCTGCACTGGAACCTAAGGATGGTTATGGAAACACACTTTTGAGTTAAACGCATAATAGATGAAATACTGTAGTCTTCTCACAAGCAACATTTAACCCATATTATCTGTCGTGGCTAACGAACTAAAGGTGACCTTACGCTTTGCGTCAGAAGCGGTCAAAAGAAAGTTTAATAGTCTATAAGTACTCCTCCGGTACGCTTGACAAAGTCTATTTGTAACCCTAGGATTTCTACTTTTGGAATAGTCTTGATGATGCATGCAATTCGAACTGATTAGACGGGAATTTTCGGATTGATCCGGCCTCGGGGGCGTCAGAGGCGTTGGAACTAATGCATTACCTTGTGCGGTGGCTAATTCTTGAAGCTACAGTATTAACAAGTGCCAAGTGGTGGTATAAATTTCATGTAAGTAGTACATAATTGGTCTGGAAGCATTGGTATAGTGAGCTGATATGTTCCTGCGAAACTATATAAGTAGAGACGCCGAGTCTTTCTATAGGGTCTACATGAACTGTCTTCACATTTGGCTCTCTATGTGCTTGATGCCCTGCTTGTTAGAATGTAAGCAAAATTGGTGAAGAAAATGTTTCAAACCTCCGACGATTTGTCTTTACCGTACAGTATATCGAAATCCCCTGGTGAGAACTTTCTGTCGCTGATCCCGACATCTGTAACACAAACAAACCGAGAAGAAGCCTAGTTGTCCAACGTAAATAGAGTTGTCCTGGATAAGTGCTGGTAACTTCATAGAGGAGCAAGCCCCATAGAAATAAGGCAATGTTGCATATTCCCCAGACTCGATGAATGGGGGAAGTGACACCCTGGTAAAGATTCAAGTAAGCATCACATCTGCTGTCAGAAGCTTAGTTGTTAAGACCTGATTCCAAACGTCTTACATACCTTTCAAGCTTAAAATAATGCCCGCAAACTCATTGTCGAATAGAGTTGAGCAGACAGTGCGTTTCGCTCACTGCTCACTGCATACCGCAACTTCCCCAGAAATATTCATAATCAAACAGCAGGAGGTAAACGAGGAGCTACACGAAGCATATGACTTTTCCCAGCGATGGCTTCGTCCTACACCTAGGACCAAACTCTGGTTCGTGTGAGCAACACCTCTTGAACCCTATTTGGAGCAACGCAAAGACACCAAACCGGCTTTCACCCACCTCGTCCTCTGATTTGAGGTAATATCCTGTACTCGCTTAACCATCATCAATAGATGAATGATACTATTTCGAACCTCTCACACATTATCCTGCCGTGACTACCGAACCAATGTCGTCTCAGAACCAGATAGTCTTTCTTTTTTTGGAAGCACAAAGACTTTGTGTCCCATGATCTGCGAACCTCCGTTCCGAGTAGGTTCTGACCAACTTGGGACACTAGGCACGAATACGCTTTATCTGTCAGACTTTCATTGGAGGAGCACTCCCGTTTTGATTGTCTTTACATCAGTGGAGTCGACATCGAACCCAGATGTATGGGACAATATACTTTGATTCTACGTCGATCGAAAGTTTACGCAGAACTCGAAGCCACTGATACAAGATTGACAAATTGGTCACGCATCAGCCGCATGGAGCTCCGAATGTCTTCTTCTGGACGGTGGTGGAGCAATCGATGCGATACAGAGAGCTTGACGCGAAGAGCTGGTCTCAAGGACTGTCTCGGATACTCAGCACAATCCCAGATTGGCATGTCTTGGATCGTTCATTTTCCGATAATTCTATAGATTCTGCGCAATCTCGAGATAGCTCTGGGGATGGTTGATGTCGAAAAAGAGTGGTCCAGCACAGTGGGATTTCGCGAGAAACATCTTGAATCTTGGCTGCCCTGCTCTGCTCAGCAGGGCTCCAATGCCGACGCCACGCAACGTCCTCCACCTCTCTGCAGACTGCATCTGCCCCTCAAGGTTCTCGGCCTCTCAGATCAACCATCCTCATTGCTGCTCACACGACTGCTTCTCGCCGCTGTCAAAATTTCTCGTTGCCTCGACGGACTTTACCCTGGATCTCTCCTGCAGCTTGGAGGTGTCACCATTACCAAAATCTTTGGCAGCAAGTCCGAAGGAGATAACATTGGCAGAGGCAAAACTTCACCCACTCGCACCCTGATGGCGTTGTTTTTTCCATTTGCTTGGTCGCGAGAGTGACAAGCTTTGTGCTCACCTTGCTGATTCCAATTCGCATTTATGGCGGGCGCAAAGATCGAATTTTTAACACCGCTTTCTCTGTTCTTCTACGCCCAACGTTGACCGGCCCCAAGACTTGTACCAAGACTTCACCAAGCCGCAACCCAAGATCATGACTAACACGAGAATGGAAACCGTCGTCGTGAGCAAAGCGTCGTCCACCACCACGGAGCATCACGATTATCATGATCCAGACATGTCGACCGATACAAGTATCGAGAAGCCGACCCTGGAATTGAGACATGACGATCTCTGCAGCAATCCCACCGAGGTCAAGCGCGATTTCCACGGGCTGCCCCTCGTGCCTCAGCCCAGTCGCTTCAAAGATGATCCATTGGTCAGTAAATTTCTGTTATTCCTTCAACTTTACAACACACGAATATCTTGACTGACTGTGGTGGTTTCGCAGAATTGGCCATCATGGTTGAAATGGGCAGTCCTCATCCAAGTCGGCGTCATGGCCTTCTTGGGCCCATACAATGCCGCGCTCATCAATCCCAGCTTGAACCTCCTCGCAAAGGCGATGCACGTTGACCCGAAGACAGCGGTATATAGCACGACGACGGGAATTATCATGGGCGGATTGTCGCCGTTCATCTGGGCACCACTGAGCAATTACTATGGCCGTCGACCGACTACTCTGCTGGCAATATTCATAACGATACTGGGTGGAATTTCGTCTGGACAGGCTCCCCATTTCGCTGCGCTTTTGGGCACACGAGCAGTATGCGGTTTTGGGTTTGGAGGGATGATGTCTGTTGGAACCGCATGTGTTAATGACATGTTCTTTCTGCATGAAAAGGGGGAAAAGACGGGCGTTTATTCAATCTTTGTCATAAACGGGGCGCATTTTGCAGCATTGAGTGAGTATCACCAATTTTCTCCCAATTCTCCCAGCTAATGGAATCCAGTCGGTGGATATCTAGGAGAATCTGCTGGTTGGCAATGGGATTACTATCTAGGTGCAATTTCAACCGCCCTCTGCTTTCTCGTCGCTGTCTTCCTCTTCCCCGAAACCCTCTTCTCACGCGACCCCGAATTCCTCGCGAACCGCACCCACGAGCGAACATACATGGAGATGCTTTTCAACTTCCGCGGCAACATAATCCCCGGCCGTCATCTCCACGCCAGCGACTTCCTCCAATCCTTCAAAATGCTCCAATACCCCTCCGTCCTCTTCCCATTTTGGTACTACACCTGGGCATGGACATTCATCAACGTCATGCCCGCCGTCTCTCTCGCCTACATCTACACGACCTTCTACCATTTCAAAGCCGGTCCCATTGGCGCCTGTCTGGGCATCTCCCTCACCATCGGCAGCATCCTAGGTGAACTCTTCGCCGGCCGCGCAAGCGACTGGGTCGTCTACCAAATGGCCAAACGCCACAACAACATCCGCAAACCAGAATACAGACTCTACCTCTCCACCCTCTCCGCCATCTTCATGCCAGCGGGCCTCCTCATCTTCGGCGGCACGGTCGGGAAAACAGGATACATCCCTCCACTCGTCGGTCTCGGGGTCGGCGTGTTCGGTCTCCAGATCTGCTCCACCTGTCTCTACGCGTACGTCTCGGACTGCTATAAACCGCAGACCCCCGAATCAGGCGTCCTCTTTAATCTCTCGAGAGGCTTGTCGTTCGTGGTGGGCTATTTCGCGTTGCCGTTTGCGGCGAAGGAGGGGTATCTGGCTGCTTGGGGCACGTTCGCCGCGGTGCTTTTTGTGTTCTTTTTGCCGGTGGGGGCGTTGATATGGTGGGGTGAGGGGTGGAGGGTGAGGTTGGGGGAGCCGAGGTTTCATCGTTATTTGTGATGGGTGATGAGGTTCTTTGGGTTTAGTTTAAAAGGGGGCGTTGATCTAATGGGTTATTTGGGTACGAATTGGGCGTTGATTTTGTGGGATGGGTTGGAAAAGGGAAAGCAAGGGTAGAATGAGTGATGGGATGGTCGTAATTTGGTGGGTATATAGATGAATGGGCATATATGGAGGGATATATGGTGGGATGTACGGGGAGTAGATAGATTATTTAATGATGAGCGATGGATGGGCGATGATTCAATCAAGATTTAATATACAATATCAAAATATATCTACAAAGTCCCGGGCGCGTCCTCTTGCTCACGTTTCAAAAGAGAGATCAAAAACTACCCTCCCACACTACCTCTATCCCGTTAGTAACCCATTTTCGTAAGCTATTTGTGTTGTGCAGTTTCTGTTTTGGAATTTGGAAGGACCCTAGTTCCTGTGCATATGGTGGTCTGGTTTAGCTGGGGATTTTTGTTTTTTTACTTGACTTGAATTGCGATGATGTAGGATGTTGTTGGTGGCGGTGTTTGGTTTTGATTGGTGTTTTCTTTTACATCTTCTAGGAATCGAGGGAGAGCCGCTATGTTGATGGTTAAACGGGGCGGGAAATGACCATGTTTTGTCCTCTCCCAACGAGTGATCTAGCAAGCTATGTTTTTTTCTTGCTTCTCACTATATATACTATTGCGTACCTTCTGCGGTCTCGGGGCTGTCACTAGTCACGGTATACAGCAGCTCTTTCGGCCGGATGGAAGGGGATTTGGCATTTGACGGTGGTTCTCGGAGGGGCGTTTCATGGGCGGTGGGAGTGGTGGCGGGAGACGGGGGAGGAGGATTGTACGCAGGTTGTGGCTTGCTTCTTGGGAAACGATAGGTGAGAGGGAGAAGACATCTTTTAAAGAGTTGTAGACGTGGTTTGGATTATTTGGGTTGTGGGGAGTGTGGTAGTGCGCACAGAGAATCATGTGAAGGCAGATATATAGTGAAGAATCAATGTTTGGAAACTTGCGATATAAGATGAACTTAAGAAATTTCGGAGAGTCGAGACGCTTTGCGCAGTAGTTGATTTGGAACAAACTCCAATGTGCGAGAAGGCTACGGACGTTGACGGTGGTGAGACGCGGATTAAAGTATTATCTGACCTGAAAGCTGCATTCGGTAGTGAGTAACAATGAATCGGAAGTTTCTGTACACAAGCAGAGGGCTTTAATAGGTATTAATGTACCTTATTTTCCTCGTAGTAGGTTTTAGGAATACGTAAACTAAAAAAGGTTCCGAAATTGGACTTTTTCTTCTAAACACTTCAATGTATCTTAATCTTATAACACTATTCTATAATTTCTATTGTACTCTCCTATCTTACACTAAACTCACAAGTCATCCCCTATTATCTACTTTCCCATTCCTCGTATGCCCCTTCCGATGGTCGTTAAAATCCATCATCCAAATACGCACACTTGTAAAGGCACTACGCAAGATTTCCTACCCAATTATCTGACAACCATTCTCCCCTCCTACACCTTTATCTTCACACAGCCCACACTTCCAGCTTTAATATTTTCACCAGCCATCACATACTCATACCCGAACATCGATAACCGAAGCTCGCATCTTAGCATCCCCTCTGTCCCTCCCGTGCATCTTGAAAACAGCTTACGGACAGTTGCACATTAGCAATATAGTTGCCTATTTAACGACTACCATGGATCCTATGTTTACCTATCCTCTGTGAAGCCTTCAGCGTTGAATTCCTCAAGTAAACCTCCTTACTGAGCTGTTGAAGCAGCACACTTAAACTCAACACCACCACCACAATCCCCTCATACCCCGTTTCATCATGACACGAAAAATATCCTCATCCTCCCCATCGCAAAATACACACACACATACCTAGCCATCTTCGCGGAAATTCTTCCTCGTGCTATTTTTCTTGGTAGAAATAACCACACTAACCTCCATATTCACGCCTCAAGAAAACAATAGTAAACACAACCCAAGAAAGCTACCAAGAATCCCTTCCATTACACCATCAACCACCTCCCAGATCTCCATATTCATCAACTCAAATGTGATGGGTGTCCGTTCTGGGGGTGTCCTCGTTGTGGGATGAATTGGCTGGGTTTGGATGGGAATTCGGGTTTGAGACTCCATGATATATACGTTACAAAACCCCTTCCTAATTTAACCATCTTAGTTCGGGGAATTTTCAAGCGCATGCTGCATGACTGAATGTTGTGGGCGCGAGTTAGGAGAGGAGCGGGATAATGTTGCGGTCACGTTGTTGGTAGGTTGAGAGGAGGTGAGGTTTTCGGAAGGAGGATAGTATACTAGCCCTGATCTAGGCAGCAAAGAAGTAGGTCGTTGAAAAGGTCCTACTTCCAGCTAGGTGGCTGTATTTCTGGCGCATATGTACCCCGTAGCTTGTTCCGATGTTATAGTGAAATATTCGTTAGTAGAATGATTTTCTTGTATATTGTATACGCAACCAACGCCGGAAATGGAGAATCTTGTGAGTATAGTATGTAGTTGGATTATATTCCGTAACTAATACATATATAACATAGCTCAATCCGGTCAATGTACAAATACACATATACAAATTACCCAATCCCATCCCAAATCCCATTACCCTCACACAGAAGAAAAAATCGGGTATATCCACCACTCCGCCTAGTACCTCCATCCCCTCTCATCGCCCCTAAACACCCTTCCCCTCCCCACTAACCTTCTGCCTCCTCTCGCGCCCCTTATCACTCCACGGAAAGTGCCACACAGGAATCGTAAAGAAAGAATTGCTGCTATCCGCGATACCGGCGAACGCGACGTACCACGCGAAGAAAGCGGCGAGGAGTCCGAACATACCGCCCGCCTTGATGAGGGCCGAGTTCGGGGAGCCGGAGGCGGGCGTGATGATATGCCCGATGCCGAGCATGAGGAAGGCGAGCCAGAGCCAGAAGAAGAGGAGGGAGAAGACGACGGTGGAGCGGAGCGTGAGGAGCCAGAGGAGGAAGGTGAAGATGAACCAGCCCTGGGAGGAGGTGTTAGTGGGGGGTTAGGGGGGAATGAGGGGCGAAAGGTGAGGGAATTGGGGAGGAAAGGGGGATGTACCATTAAATAGAAGCCGATTGCGAATTGGAGGTGTTGTTCTTCGGCGTATGCGCTTGCGATGTTGAAACCGCCAGGCGTGAGCAGGATGGCGTAGGACAGCCAGAAACCACCGTATGAAGAAAGAGCTGTGGCACCGAAAGTGTTGCCTATTGCCATTTCCCTATTTTCAATTAGCCATAATTTCGCTTGAGATTGGTTTAAATATACATACCACATGCCAGCGAGCAATTGCACCAACCCACCATATCCGAAAGCCAAAGCGACAACTACATTTGGCTCACTCACCCCTCGAGTTTGGAAGTTAATGAGTGAAAGCACAAAGGTCGTTAATGCGAAAGCACTCAATCCTAGGGGTGCTGGATTGGCGATATTCGTCTTCTTTGGTTTGTAAAGACCTGGCTCGAGGAAACCTGCAAATGCCGCATTGCGAGCTGACATGTTGGTATTTACATGCGCAAGCGGGTTGTCGTTATAGCCTCCATAGCCATGAGGGCCAGTTGTTTGCTGTGTCAGAACTGGATTGAGATTTCCATTGACGCCATTCTGAACAGAAGGGTGATGACCATAATCCACGCCATTCACATTATTCTCGAGATGAGATTGATTTCCGCTCATGATGCCGTTGGTGCCGTACTTCTCCTCGTGGATAGGAAGGGTGTCACTTGTGGATGGTCTTTCGCCGGCCATGGTGGGAGCTCCTTTCTTAATATAGGAGACTATGTGGAGAGAACTCAATGTGGATTCCTCTAAATTGGGAGGGGAGAAAGCAGCTATATCTACCCCAAATGATGCACCTCCTCAGTATCCACGGCACCGGGTGAAGGGTAGGTTGGGTTGCACATCCGAATCTGTGAATGTTGTCGACCATTCATTTTCATGATGTCCACATCCTAGCTGTGAACAAGCGTGTATTCTCAACCATCGATCCCTGATAGTCGACAACGATCATCCCCAAAACCCATATCTTTCTCAAGTCCTCCCCAGAAATACACGACCGATGACATCGCTATCCCTAGGCCAAGTATAGCGCAAGCCATGGTGTTGGTCTAGTCCCATTTTATTCCAAGAGATCGTCCAAGTCATTCGGCGACTAGCCCTCGGCACATGTAATCTTACCTCCGAAAATGGCAACGGGCCAATGATAATTTGAAATTATCAGTCGTATTTGGTCGCTTCTCCTCTTCAAAGTTTGGGATTTCTTGCGATTGCGGGGTGTTGATCAGTAACGATCGAGATGCGAGATGTCCTCGTGTTGAACCTGGAATGAGCTCAATGGCTTGATCGGCTCGTTCCCGATTGGAGTGTAAAAGGGCAGCACAAAGTAGCATATCAAATCAATACCCTCAGGTGATTGAGGCAGAAATCCTATTGAAAGTCAGTCAGCGCAGTAATAACAACCGTTTCAACTTAACAGACATCGGACTTTACAAATTAAAACTGACCAGCAAACGGGCTTGTGCACCGGACTGACTCGGTCATAATGAAGCTTTGTCCGAATCCCCATCTAATAACTCGCTAAAACCGACACCGCGGAGCTTGCATAAGAGTTGCTCTCAAAATGGAGAAATTGCACTTACAAATGTGGTACTTCTAGACTCAACAGACATTATTTAGGAGATTCTCGAGCCGGACATATGGGAATATAATTGAGAATCGAGACTTCTCTCCACTGGCGAATGCCGCGTTCCCGAGCAAGCGTTCCGACCCCGCGATGCGGAGTCCCCAGGTCTATGTCGGCCGATGTATTCGGGAAGTATCACAGCATCGCATGTTCCAAGACGGTTATGGCACCGTTTTGTCTTGGAGTTTGATGAAGCGACGAACGAATCCACAAAGCAGCATATTTGACGTTTCTTGGGAGTTCTTGCAGATTTGTCTTGCGAGGTCGATCACCTACGTGTGCCTACGCTCAGCATTCGGTAACTTATTGATGGTCAGTGCACGAGCCCTAGTTTTTAATTCGAATCTTGGAACAGCATCATGCTTTCCAATCAAAGAACACTGCCTGTAATGTCCATGATACTGAGCATATCTCATCATGTCTGTTAGTCTCTTGGGAAGTTCAACCGACCTTTGCACTCATGATGTTATCCACCTTACGGTGAGACTTAAAAAGCCAAGTGATGATTGATCTTTCACAAACCTCGAGAACCTCTCATAACTCGTAAGATGGAAGATAAACAGACATATGTGATAAATCCTAATTGCGTTTTAAGTTATTGGAGCTTACGCTGAGCACTAGCCAGTCGTTCTTCGAACGTCGTGCAAAAGCATGAACGATTTTTCGGCCGTTTAAGGAATGAGGTTACATCAGTTGGGAATCCCGATGTACGGAATCTTACTGCTCAAGTCAAATCAAAACTCCTTCTAGGAGAGATCCAGCTGTGATCCGTTGTGATTGGAACAAGGCTGCTGTATATGTTCGGAAGATCGTACATTCCAGACCGTCGTGCTTTAACCAATGCTGTATGAAGTATCTGAAAGTTCGAATTCAATCATTCAATAGAAATGGTTAGTACGTCCACGAAATCGAATGGGAGACTTCCAAGCAAACTTGATGGAGCTCTGAACTTGAAAACTGGCGATGCCATGCCACCATATCCGTCAGAAGTGATCAAGACTGGAAACAACCAAACCTTCAACCGTAGCAGGGCCGAGTCTTGATTTCACTTGACAGACGAATCAGGCTTCACAACGAACGGTTCTCCTCGGTTTGCATTTGGCCGCCACACGAAGAGAAAATGACAAGATAAGTCGGCCACGCGGGAAAATTGCAGAACTTAGGCAGTTCCTCCCGTGTCCGACAAGTATGAAAGAACACACACCTCTCGAGATGAAAAGAGCCATACCACAAACAATGCTAAAAAAAAAAAAAAGTGACACTTGAACGCTACTCAGAGGGCGACCAAGCAGAAGCCTCTGCAATGCTTCTTTCAGGGTTCTAGGGTCGATATTGTGCATTCAAGGTTTCTGTTGGAACTGGGTTGATGTGATACGTCAATCGTAACCAATTTGTCGGGTCGATGGCTGTCCTGTTGGGGATTGGGGGTAACTTTTGGTTCGTCCTGTAAGCGCTTGCTCCATTTGGAGATGCCGAGTACAATCTGGATTTATCAATTCCTCAATCGATACACTGACTTGTTGAGATAGAAGCGTAAATCGAGATTCGGGAGGTACACTTTTGCACATCTCATAGGCTCCGATAGAGGAGTGAATGAGCTGTCCCTCGCGCTGGTCTAATTAACCTTTTCTTCTCTGGTCGAGACATTGTAAAGGGCAGGTAAAGCGAGAGCAGCGATGAGCAACAAGCAGCAACACTGTAGCAGTAACAGTGATACGTGAGGGGGGAAACAGGAAGTCATACTATGCTCAAATGAGAAGATATCAGATTGGTGCTGTGTGGTGGCCGAAGCAGCATATCGCGTTCAAAGTTTGCTGCATCACAAGAAAGTAATCCATGGATGTGCCATCGGTCGTTCCAGACGTCTTTTCTTAGGATTGATCCAACGGGGCAGAATAGTGGTAGGCATAAATTGAAAACTTCCGACTATCGGCATTGCTTTGGAATTGCTCTAGAAGCCCGAAAATGGTCGATCTGGCGTTTTGCGAAGCAGTGCCCTTCTCCGTATGTGGTATCCGGGAACGCCATATTATCAAGTTGCAGGCAAAACTGGGAAGAAGGAATGTATTCCCCCCTGTCAATAATACGACATCGAATGCTTGATCTTTAGCTGAGCTTGTGGAAACACTCAGGATTGAACTATTCACTTGTGGACCTGCCTTTCGTGTGCCGCGAGTCCGGCATTGGGCTTCCTGCACTGCGAATCAGCCTATTGGGTATATGGTCAGACGAAACCCCATCAAGAGGAAACAGCGCGTCGGATTCAAGTGGCGTTTCCTGCTATTGGGCCAATACGCCCAGTGAGCGACTCGTTCACAGCCCGAAAAATTCCAATGCTTCATTCGGCGTAGGATATGGTGTCGCTTAAAGTTCCGATTAAAGATAACATAGATATCTCGGCACGCTTAAGTTTGTAGAGTAATGTTCTGTACTCGGTGTGAAACTTTGGAAAAATTCCTGGAGAACTTGAGTTAATAAAGGTGAGCCTAACGCACATATGATGAAACTGGAGATGATGTGTTGTACTGCGCTGCACTACATTCGGAAATTCTCCTTCTGCAAGGTAACGCTGCAAATGCAGGCTTGCGTATAGGACGGACAAGATAGTGACCAATATGAAAGCAGCGACATCAAGGCCTCCAAGATATGACTTGTTGTACGTTAGCAAGGTACGAAGAAGGAGAAGTAAGAATCATTTGAAAATTTCAAACCTATTGTTGGAGTACTGTTGTCGTCCAAGATACTCTAAACTGAGGTCACATCGTGGATGATGTGAACTAACCGTCGGAAAGCCATGCCTCATCCATGGGATCGTGCGCGATGATCCGATTGAGAGCGGGAAGATCAGACGGAGCGGAGTCCGTCGTCGTGGCCCTAGCCCGCGATGATGAACGATAATTGTAACGCATGAATAATATTGGCGTCTGGAATATGCATAATACAATGGCAATTATGAAAATGTATGGTGAGAGCGAATAGGAGCAGACCCTTAAGCAATAACGAATCTGTTAACGGATGTTGCGCTGACTGAGGACAGGTGTGGTTTTGTTGCAGAATGATCGAGGGGTTGAAGGCAGATCGCATGCAGGAGCTTCGAATGAGGGGAACCAAGCTCGATGCTCTTGCTCCGTATAACGATTGAAGTATGACGACCAGGACTAGATAATTATCTAGAAGACGAGGGGAAAAATTGGTCGAGTTGTCTTTGACTTTCTCATGCTGGTTTATATTGACCTGCTCATTCCAAACCGATGCCATGGACAAAGCCCTTGTTGGGTATTGAAGCAATAGAGCCAATTTGCAGCCACATCTTCGAAATCCGCGGTCTTGACGGCGGAAGGTTGATGACATGCGCCTTGATCTCCCTTTTTTATTCCAGAACCAAAGAAATCAGTATGCAGGTCACGCCCGAAAAAGTGCACTGCTCCGTGAGTCGTCCATATACTATAGGTGTTATTCATACCGCCAGACCTAAAGAGTCGAGGTGCATCCACGGAAGCTGGCACAACCACTCCTACGGAATCGGCGACCTTCGCACTAGAGCATGTCAGCCATACGGGCTGGTTCAAAGAACGACCCGGCAGCGGAAGAATTAGCATCCCAAGCGTGTTTGGGGCACTGTTGCGGGCGTTGCATCGATTTTCGCAAGCCATCCCGTCGCTGGCCCCAAGTGCGAAGAAAGAAGATACGGAGTGTTCGTGGTCGGACGATAGTCTCTGTGGATGTGCCCTCAACGTGCAGATATATATGTACAGATCGATTTAGAGAGACGGACAGGACCGAGACATCCTTCTGCGGAGAAAGCGGACAGATTATGCTGATTGGATCCGGAGGAAATGGATCAATGAATGTCAAGAAGCTGGACGGATGGCTGGCGACGCGTCGTCGTACAACTGCCTCTTCCGTCCGGCATCTTGTCTTCCTCGATATCACTACCGAGCTGGATTGTCCAGCTGTCATAGGTTATCTTCTCCTTTTCATCTGCATGTCTCTTCTTCCTATCGTGCGCTCCTTTGCGGTTCATGGCAACGTACCGACGTATTCACCCTATGGATGTCGACCAATGGAGCAGCTGCAGACAGATTAAAGACATGACTTGGAGTTTCCTCGGTGGTTCTTCATCCAAACGGCGGTGCAGCTGCCATGTCACGGTGGTGTGGTAAGTGCATGTTGCTGCAAGTCTTTTGCAGTTGTTGAGCCATGGAATTTCTTCTCCTTGGGCCGCTATTGCCAGAATCGGAATCAAGTGCGGTTCAGCACCTACCGACAACGCGTCGGCGGTATACTGTGAGATGCAGCGTTAATTGTTAATTAACAATGTTCGCTCACGGTGATGACGGTGCGGCAGAAGCGTTTTGTTTGCGGTTGGTAGGATGTCTGTCGTGTATAACAAGCTTGCTATAGCTGAGGTATGTATGCGAACGTATCGATGAGAGAAATAGGAAGACCTGGAAGGCTGGAAGAGCTGAAGTATAGCTCAGGAATAGACCGAGTATAGCTTAGGAGGAGCTTAGCAGCAGATCAATAATTGGCAAAAGAAAGAAGCAGGACACGGGCATGACGACCCTGTGCAATCCGCTTTGGTCTCTGGGGTCTCCGGGTGGTGAGACTGTCGCGGTGACGGTGACATTACCGATATTATATGATGATCATCCTTGCGGGTAAGAGAGAGGAAGTATATCAAGCATCGCGTCGATAAGTATATAAGTATAGTCGAGGAAGAGGATGAAAGGAAGAACTCGTCCTCGTTCTTCGTCTCATAAATTTGAAGGTGCGAAGGTGCTCCAGATGCCGGGAGATCGTCACTCAGATCAACTAGCGGATCCACACCCACCATCAGTCACCTCCACCGAGCCACCAGACCCTTCAATCTTCCCCAAACTGCGCTCTGACAGCTGCACAAGTACTCCGTGCGCCATCTTTCAAATAGCAGGTTGATATTATCATATATTCAGAATTGTATATATTTAAATATCTTTTCTTCGTTCTTATTCTCACTTATCCGTACGAACACGACAGAGCTCTACCCCGCCGGCCAGACATCACCCCCGCCTGCACTGCTCATTTCGCTGCCCCTGCGGATTCGGCTGCTTCTCAACCACCACCAAACCCTTCCCCCGGCTCTCTGCGCGCCTGCGTCTGCGGTCATCCCTTACTTTTATTTCAAGCCACCACTCCCAGCATTCAAGGTGCCAGTGCCCCTCGAGATACACCCAAAGATACACATCACATCACATCACCAGAAAGCTTCCAACACCCCCACCTTGCATGTCCTGGTACGCTCATTGACGTCGTACCGACCACAAACCCTTGGGAATATCCTACACAACCTCCCGTCCTGGCGACACCACAAATCTCCGTTCAAATATCCTCCATTGTCGAGGCGGCGTCGACAGCTTCTTGACTATCCAGGATCAAGCTTCCGGGTGCAAGAAGAAGTCTCCACCCAGCCCTGCCGAACAAAGTACCTGCCCCTCCAAGGGAACTTCTCCGAATCAAGCAACTGACGGGAACAGAAATCTTATATCTCGCCCGTCGCAACGTTTGCGACTCGTGGAAAGCGTTGGACTCGAATCCCACATTCTCTCAGGCAACTGTTTGCCTCGGTAGCGACGTCGAATTCGAAAATTCAAGGATCACGACTCCACAAGCTCAATCATGAGTGCTTCCTATTCACAAGAGCCATATCGACCGGTAGGTCCAGGAGCGTACGCCGCAGCTCCAATGCACCCTCAGTACAACCCCATGCCGGTATCGAGACCTCCTATGCCTGATTCTCTGAATCAACCTTCAGATGCATTGGCCTCATTAGCCCCAGGCACACAACCAACGACGACTGGCCCAGAGGTTCGATCATGTGTGGAAAAGGGTTGGAAATATGAGTAGGTGATGTTCCATAGTAGGATGCGAGAAGTGTATGATACAGGTGCTGAGTCGGATGGATGATGGCAGAGGAGCTTGCGCCAACGGGTTTTCTAAGGTTGCTAGTAGCTACCTCGAAGCATCTTGTTGGCGACAGGACTGCTCCTCGCGCCTCACAAGACTGAGCCTTGTCTACGATGCTGTACCTCGCGCAAACATGTTCTAGTATATCCAGCTGACTCGGTTGGACATAGATTACTAGTGGTCCAACAACCACAACGTGCTCGTATGTGTGGATTTGGCGACAAGGTAATTACACTTAACAGAATCTATCAGCTGTGAAGACTAAAATCCATAGGATCGACGCCCAATTACCCCTCCACCCTGTGTCCGGCTAATTATCACCGATGTTAATACTGGGAAAGAGTGTGATGTCAAGTAGGTGGTCTACGTATGTCAACGAAATATCCTCTAATGATTCTAGTGATATCGATCACGGAATGTTCGTTCTCAATGTCGATCTCTGGGATGCCCATGGAAGTCGAGAGGTCAATTTAGTGCGCCACTCTCAGACATCTCCATCCATATCAATGACAACAGCGGTATCATATGCACATGTTGAACATGGAAGTCATACAGCCTTTTCACATATTCTGCCAGGAGCAGGAAATCCACAAATCAAGTTTGAACATGGAGCTGGACCAAGTTATGCTCAACCACCAACATATCCAAATCCCTACGGAGCTGCCCCAATCAATCCATATACTCAACCACCTTCACCTCAGCAGACTTATGGAGGCCAATCATATCATCCTGCTTACGCACCAGTCACAACTGCACCACATTACGCACCGCAAAACGGATACGCTCAACCAGGAGCACCACCCCCAAATATGTATTATCCTGGCCAGCCAATGCATCCTCAACAGCAACTTGACTTTACACCGGTCAGTCAAGCTCTTCCATCTCAAAATCCCATGGGCGGTTATGGAGGCCGGCCGGGATATCCTCCTCAAGATATGGTCCAACGTATACCGAGGGTAGAGCCTCCAAGCGGAATGTTTACAAGAAATCTCATCGGAAGCTTGGCAGCTAGTGCTTTCAGATTGACTGATCCTGATGACCGCATCGGAATTTGGTTTGTTCTACAAGATTTATCCGTCCGTACAGAGGGTACCTTCAGGTAATGTATTCAGCTCGGAAAGGAATTAGAAGTATTTATTGACGCGTTTAGACTTAAATTTTCATTCGTCAACGTTGGAGTTCCATCGCCACCAACATCAGCTGGCGGATCTGGCTCCAATGGAACCCAGCCAGTGACCCAAGTCAACACAGGAAAGGCGCCTGTTCTTGCGGCTTGTTATTCCGACTCCTTCACTGTATATTCAGCAAAACGCTTCCCAGGTGTCGTTGAAAGTACCGGTTTGAGTAAGTGTTTTGCCACCCAGGGTATTAAAATACCCATTCGCAAGGATGGGCAGGCAACTGGACGACAAAGTGAGCGGGATAAGGAGTACGACGAGGACTAGGTGCTTCACAACATTACAATTACCAGGCGATGGCGTTTGATCTTTATATCGGGGCAAGTTCGCGGCGAATAATGGTCTGGGGCGGTGTTTTCAAAGTTCTGTTGCGTGCGGAATCGGAGTGGTGGGTACAGCGGATTCTCCATGCCAGATATTCGAGGATGAGCGTCAATGCTTTGGGGCGAATATACACTGCCTCTGGAACACTTGGAGTATTACGGACACATGGCGTCAGAGAATAGGTAGCGGGTGCTTTTTCATCTGAGATTCCACTATCTAGGTGGATTGGAGTGGGCTTGGGCTAGGAATTCTGGGATACAAATACCTTTTGTTTTTTTGTCGTGTGTGTGTGTGTGTGTTTCTGTTCCGGTTGTTGGCTTTTTTTTGTATAGATATATTCTATAGGATTTGTTTTTTGTTGAAAAAATGGAAAGAGGGTTAGGTTGTGTAGATTGTTGAGTGAGTTTTTGGGGTTTGGTGATTTGTGAGTGAGTGTTTACATACATTGGAAGTGGGTGAATGAGCGAGTGGTTGGGTGCAGGTGGTTGTTCTGAGGAATCTCGCTTGTGAGTAGAGCTTGCTGATGAGTTAGTTGTGTTTCATCGAAGAGTTTTTGACAAAGTGCTTGTGAGATGGTTGGGGAGCTATTGGGACTCGGGGGGTTCTGTGAGTAGTGAGGTAAGTGATGAAATGAATGTCTACGGGTGGTAAGCTATGATGTTTCATTCATGAGCATTCGGGGGGGGTTGTGAGTGGGATGGTTTTTGATGGGTTGAATGTAAGGTGTGTTTCTTTGTTGGTGGTTGAGATGTGAGATTGGTAGGTTATGTGAGTTTGGTAGGTTGGGCGATGATTGGGATCGGACAAGGAGGGTAGGATTTTGTGAGTTGGTTGCGTACGGGGTTTTTATATAACCTGTCCTTCTTCAAGTTCTTTCTTGATACATCTCAAATTTCCCTAACTCATCACTACCTGCAGAAAACTAAAGTTCACCTCATTCCAAAGTCGGGAAATATCAATATGTCACATTCGTGGCACGCAAATCTTAACATCGACCCACTCACGGGAAAATGGTCTACCTCATCTACTTCCGCGTCCTCGAGTGCTCTGCCAGATAGAAGGGCGAGGGTTCGACCGGGGGAACATGGTCCTCCTGTTGTGCTGGGGGAGAGACTTGTTAGTGGAAGGTTTGCGGGAGAGGGGTAGGAGGAAAAGGAGGGAGTGAAGGGGAAGGGGGAGGGGGAGGGGGAGAAGGGGAAAGGGAGGGAGGGAGGGAAGGGGATGGGAGCGAAAGAGGCTGGGGAGAGAGTGAGGATTAGACCTGGTGAGAAGGGTGTTGTGACGTTTAGGGGGGGGATGGAGTGGATTCTAGTAATCTAAACCAAGAAACCCGACACGCCTGTTCAACCACCAAAGCGCCCGCGTCGTGACGGCTCACCGAGCGCATGAATTAGATGTGTTTTATATGTCGTTTACTTGGATATAGTTTGGATAACGGGTTATGAGTTTTGAGTTAGGTGTGGAATTAGGGTTCTTCGCTTTGGGAGGGAATTGTTTGATGGAGATTCTTTCGTTGTGGTGGATATGGTTTTGGGATTTGTGGGGTGAGATGCGAGGATGGAGTTGTTGGGGTGTGAAGGATATTAGTGAATCTTAACGGTCGAACCTACTATCTTAGTCAGACACATCGGTAATTTGTCCTCTTAGAAAATGGTTTTCTGGAAGTTCGTATGCACATTTTTGGGGGTTAGTAAGGAGGATGTAGATAGGACGTTTATATAGATGTATCTGCAGGAAATGTCTGAATATATGGATTTAGATCTTATGTCTAGATGGGAGTTGCGAGATGTTATTTGGATATGTTGGTATTGAAGGGTGTACCGTGTTTCGATTTATGTAGCTGGTGTGTAAGAAAGTAAGACTGTAGTAGACTTTTTAAGGGAATGTGTAAGAAAGTAAGACCGCAGCAGACTGTTTGAGGGAATCGTCAACGACGCGTACTAGAGCAACGGCTTATAATACGATTATTAACTTGTTAAACCATCATTTTTCTTCTTTTCGAAACGAAATTTACCTTAAAGGGAGAACGTTGAAGAAGTGACGAAGAGAAAGATAATTTGTGGTAAATGTTGAGAGAGGTTGACAGAACAGCGACATAAAGGAAAATGAGTTGTGGATTTAGCTTAGTTAGTTATAGTATGTTTGTTTTGGGATAGAGGGTTTTGATTGTTTGTAATAGGTTTTCGTCTCCTTATTTCTTTAAGTGGCGATATAGAAGTGAGGATACTAGGAGAAGAGGATTTGGCTTCGTACTTAAGAGTCAAAGCCAGAAATGAGATAAGTGGTGGTTATGTTTATCCTGCTGCTGTACCGATCTCTCTCCTATTTTCTAGTGACTTCGAGATACAAGTAGCCAGTCGATGTGTTGACAAAATACACTATTATGCGTTGTGAATCGACTAGAGATCGTTCGTGTTCGGAAGCTGATTCGGCATTCTGTCAGAGGCGTCTCGCTTCACATGCTCTAATAAAACGCCACGTGACACCATTCCGAGCCTCTCCGCCTCAACCAAGCTTCCAGCCGATTATCCAATCACAGACCGTACATTGTAAATGACAATGGTGAGGTAAGCCTTTCTGGATTTATTCCCGAGGTCATTCAAACGTTTGCCTTCGACGTCTGTTCACTCTCGAGTGCCACCACCACTACATAATTCTACACCTCTCAAACCGAGACTTCACTGCAATTGATTTATAGCTGGCGGTTATAAAATCAGATATCTAGGCAACGGCCGACACAATTGACACAAATCCTTCAATCACCACTCCACCATGGCATCTTTACGCACAACATCGCGCCTTTTCAAGGCCGCACGACCAGCCTTCAAATCTCAGATTAGAACAATCGCGATCGGAAACACAAATTCCACCGCCCATCCAGTCGATCCATCAAAGACATCCACCATCAAGGAACCAGCCGCGGATCCAGATTCCAAAATCAAGACCTTCCACATCTACCGTTGGAATCCGGATGAGCCATCCACCAAGCCTCGCATGCAGAGTTATACTCTTGATCTGAACAAGACGGGTCCTATGGTTTTGGATGCGTTAATTCGGATCAAGAATGAAGTCGATCCTACGCTTACGTTCAGACGGAGTTGCAGAGAGGGGATCTGTGGAAGTTGCGCGATGAACATTGATGGTGTAAACACACTGGCCTGTTTGTGTAAGTTCCCCCTCTGAGGAATTCGTGGCAAAGCTAATAATATCAGGCCGTATCCCAACCGACACCAAAGCCGAATCCAAAATCTACCCTCTCCCCCACACCTACGTCGTCAAAGACATCGTCCCAGATCTGACCCAATTCTACAAGCAATACAAATCCATCCAGCCCTACCTCCAACGCTCCACGCCTGCTCCGGATGGAAAAGAATACCGCCAGTCAAAGGAAGAGCGCAAGAAGTTGGACGGCATGTACGAATGCATTCTCTGCGCCTGCTGCTCCACCTCCTGCCCCTCGTACTGGTGGAACAGCGAGGAATACCTCGGTCCGGCCGTGCTCATGCAGAGTTACCGCTGGATCGCCGATAGCAGAGATGAGAAGAAGGAGGCGAGGAAGGCGCAGCTGGATAATAGTATGAGTTTGTATCGTTGCCATACTATCCTCAATTGCTCGAGGACTTGTCCTAAGGGGTTGAATCCTGGGTTGGCGATTGCGGAGATTAAGAAGGAGATGGCGTTCTAGAAGATGAGTGGCGGTTTTTTAAGGGGAGGAATTGGAGGCGAGATGGGAGGAAGGAATGGGAAGGAGGTGAGATGAGGATACGAGGAGATGAAATACATTTTGGTAGTCGAGCGTTCGTATGATGGGCAAGAGGGTGTTTGCATGGTTGAGGAGTCGAATTTGCGACTTGTGTAGATAAGAGGTTTTGTGCGCATTACTGAAGTCCTTTTTTTAAATTCCTATTCCTACTTTCGTTTCTCTAGACCGACCGGCTGTGTATCATCTGTGAAACTTCGTATGTAAATCTCTCTACTTACTAGACACCTCGATGCGCGTGATGTCGCGAAATAGAATCCCTCCTATGACAATACTTTACTAGATCTCTCATTGCGTATTAGTATACTCATACCAGCACGTAAAACAATCTGTCTAGTCAGAATCTAGCCACCCTACAACCCTTTTCAAACCCCTACTTCAAACTCGGAGGAGTTATCTCGGGTTGCTGTCTCCTTCTTACTCCGTTAAATTTGCCTACTATTCCTTATTTCACAAGTCTTAAAGACTTGAACTTGGTATTTGTACATTACTCAGGTGTATTAAATCGATACACAAACGAGTTTTCCCATCGCGCTCGAATTCTCTAGGTCCTGTATTTTAGATGTACTTATTTGTATCCTCTCTGATACTTCGACTTTGGAGATAGCTCATTTCGGGAAATAGATGGCGGAGCAGGGAATTGTGTCGAGATAGCATTTCCCGGCCTGAATCACGTTTTAAGGGAATGAAAGAAGAGGTAGGTTGTGGGTTATCTCCTACACCATGTTTGAAATGAATGAGGGGTATCTCTATATTCTGTCTTACGGAGAAGTGTATGAGATTATATTTGGTTTTTATATATCTACGCGCTAGAATATCAGCCCAGACCACCAACACCTTCTGAGGAAATAGCTGTTCTGTCTTTGTCCAGCTGAATATAATATACCACCGAGGAGCTTCACGATTTATATCTCACGTAGCTTTCTGGGCCGATGATGTACGTGCGGAATCCAGGGAAATGTATCTCACGATTGGCTCGAGATAAGATGGAGACAGAAAGGGGGAGTAGGTGTTTGACGATTACTTGCTGCTGTTGAGTTGGGCCTTGTTGTTGACGGGTAGGGAATTTTGCTTGACTGCGACTATCGTTCTTGTCTATATGAGAGGGCGTGCTTTAGGTAGTGTAATAGTGGTAGGTTGCGGATGGCAACACATGTTTTGTCTCGGCGATAGATAAACTGGTTGCGTGATGAGTAAAATCTAGTAAATTTATCATTCTTACTTTTCCCAGATCTACGCTGTTGATTGTACACCCAACACCCCATAAAACCCCTCAATCTCTGGATATGCATCACAATCTCAAAACTATGGTATACAACGCCAACCTCACCCAGCACAGTCAAACTCCCCAAACGCCATGCCATGCCCCAACATTTTAATTCCACGCGCTCTAATAAACACCTTGTAATGAGGAATTTACATCCTACTAAAATGCGCAACCAGTTTCTCCTTCTCCGCATCACCCCCCGACTCCAGATTCGCCACAAAATCCGCAATCGCGTCGAAATACCCGTCTTCCATGACGCTGGAATTGTGATCGCCGGACGGGAGCGGTTTCCATACTTTCATAGGGGTTTGGCAGATTTCGTAGAGGCGGCGCATGTGTGAGGGTCTGGGTGTGTTAGTAGGGGTTGCGGAGGGTGAGGTGGGATATGGTGGGGGAGGGAGAGAGTCAGATATTTCAACATGATAGGTGTAATCAGGTCCCGAGGGGACGTCAGGTTTTGTGGATGGAAATTGGGTCATCATTCTAAGGAGTGTGTAAAAGGAGAGGGAAACGTACGGGACGATTTCGTCTTGGAGACCGGAGAGGAAGAGGATTGGAAGTTCGGTTATGGAGGGGAGATAGGTGTCGGATGCCCAGACTTGGTGGCAGAGGAGGGTGAGATATCTGGCTGGTGGGATGATTCTGGGAGGTTAGCAAATTAAGCTGTGCTTGGAGTATGGGACGTACGAAGGAATCAACTTTCTCATGGATAAGAAAGTATTTTCCAACACCACTCCAATCAACTTCCCATCATTCTGATTCTTGGCAGCAAGCTGTATCGATACAGCCCCACCAAGACTCTGCCCATATATCACAATATCATTATCCCTCGTCTCTGCTCGATTCCGTAGATAATCATATCCCGTTTGAGCATCAATCATCAAGCCAGCTTCATCTGGAGAGCCAGTCGATAACCCATACCCTCTATATTCCAACATCAACACACTACACCCCATACGTTGCACAAACATCCTCGCAATCGGCACACGATGTCCAATATTTCCCGCATTCCCATGGAACATTAACACGGTCGTATTGCTATGACCCCTCCCCTTTGGTCCTCTGATATAGAAAGCTGAAAGTTTTTCGCCATCGGGAGTAGGGATCATCAACTCTTCGAAATCCGTGATGCCAAACTGGGAGGGTTTAGGGACCTCTGTCCGGGCAAGATTCGGAATGTGGGAGGGGTAGATGAGAGCTCTAGCTTGGGATGTCAGCAACGATCATGCTCACCTGGGAATAGTAGAGGAACTTGCTTTTGCTTGAAATACAAGAGAGAGCTCAATACCGCCGCGATGCCCTGACGCCATAGTGAGTATGACATGCGCGGGAGAATAGGATCATTTGGCTTGTGAAGATTTGAATTTTTTTTTCAAGGAGATGGTGGTGTAGATACCGAAGAGATTAGGACCGGAAGACGCATGTAGCCTGCGACCGAAGACAAAACGGTGGTCATCTGATGGAGATAGGTGTTGGAAGAATCCGGGGAGGACATGTTGTTCATGCGCAAGCCGCACTGGGCAAAGGAAGAATTGCAGTGTTTTGCAGCGTTTTTTTCTCGGTTGTGTTGGCTGGATGGCTGCTGGTGGATGATGCTGTGTCCCGTGGCTCGTGGCCGCAGGATGATCTGCTGCACTGGACAGATGTCTCAAATGGATTGACAGGGCTTCATTATTCGAGTGTCGGAGCAGGGGTGATGGTATGGGTTGTGTTATGGCCTGTTTGTAAAGAGACGCGGTGTTTGGTGGATGTTTAGATGTTTACGTGGACGTCTAGGTCTGGCATCTGCGCATAAAAGTGTGGAGATACATCTGGATAGCTGGCGTGTAATGGAGATTTCGAATTATGCGGGTATTTACGAACAACAATCGGATTTGCACACGGTTAAGAATCCTGGCGCGTCAAGAACGATATCTGAATAATTAAGAATAGAAGGCGTATGAGGCGTCGATAGTCCGGAGTGCGTAGAATTTGCTTTTGTTCCCAAGAAAGGTGGTGTGTGGGTTTGGCCAGTGAGGAGGTCTAGATTGGGTGACCCCTTGAGCGAGTCCATGCCCGGTGATGAAATCCAGCCGCCGGGGACTGGAGGGGTTGTGCCCAAGGAGAAGATATCAGAATGATATGATAGTTGAGAATGCGGAGGAGAAGAAGGATGTTGAAGGAATGGTATTTGCCTACTCCTTACTTCTGTTCTTCGTAACTAAGAGACTTACTAGCTACCTAGGTAGATACTATTGCTTCGTTCTAGGCACTATCCAGAACTCTATGATACAGTAGTAACAGTACATACCAGCCCAACTGACTGCGCATCGCTTTGGCCTGGGTTTGGGCTTCTGCTGACAACCTCATGCGAATCCATGGCGGTGCTTCTGGTGCAGCTGGGACCCGAGACAGATCACCACCTAAGGCTATCTCTGATCTATCTCTGATCTATCTCTGATCTATCTCTGCTTGTCCGGATAATAGAGTTCATACGCACCCCGTACTCTTTCCATGATGCGTTCAAGATTGAGCTGAATTCAATCTCTCGAAACACCACACCCCCTTCTTAGCCCTTCTTGTTTACCCCTCGTCCACTCACATCCCTCCCGTCTCACGACGCTCACCAAACCTCCCGCTTAGCCCGCCAACCAGCAACCGAGATCTCCCACCTGCAAGGACGCGCTTCAGTCCCACAGCCCGCAAATCCTTGATCGGGACACACTACACTGCTGGGCCTGACTGCCAGACCAAAATAGGGCCAGTCCCAGTGCGAAAGTATCTTGGAACATCCTCCGACACCACCAGAATCACCCCCCTTACAACCTGACCTCTCCCCCCGCCGCCGCTGCTTTCCAGAAAGACTTCTGTTACAGCTCAGATCAGATCATTGCATATTCAACTTCACCGACTCCATCGCAAACAACGCACAATCGGCCACGAATCAAATTTTCATCATGGTCTCTTTTTCTTGCGAGGTATGTGAAAATGTTTACATGGCGAACCCTACGCGACACGGCCGGTCATGCGCGCAGAGGTAGCTCTTGACCCATCTGACCATCTTGTAGGCCTGTGGAGATGTCCTGACGAAGAAAAAACTCGATCCTCACCGCAATCAATGTCGAGGCGCAAGCTTCACCTGCTTGGACTGTATGATCCATTTCCAAGGGCAGGAATATCGCGCTCATACTGTATGTTCCTGATGCTCAGTGTGTCATACGTCGTCTAACAACCACAAGAGCTGTATCAGCGAAGCCCAAAAGTACCAGGGCGCCTTATATCGACCCGACAAGAAGGAAAAGAATAGACAAAACAACCAGAACAATTCCCATGCCGTCGTACCGCATTCAGCATATGTCGAAGATGCGGAGGATGAATACAATCAGGATACACAGCTCGCAGTCGTCGAGGCTCCCCCACCAGAAGCACCTTCACCACCCTCAGCTGCTCCAGGCTATGGGATGTCCCCCGATCCAGTAAACGTTTTCGACTTTCTCGTCACCAGCGAAACACCAAACGGTTCTCGCAACGAATTACCCGCTCCAGAACCGATGGTAATGATTGAGGATGTTCCAGACGAGAGTCGCGACCGAGAGCTTGTACGAGTACACTTCGAAGACTACCAAGATGTGGACCAGAGTGTGACGGACCTTGTACAATACGGCAGCGCACCAATCCAGTCACAGTTTGAAACACCAGCGCCCAAAGGAGAACGCGAACGTGAACGACGGAGGGAACGTAAGGACCGCGATCTGACGAGGGAAGAAAAGAAGGACAAGAAGCGCAAACGTCTTCATGTTGAAACAAGAGACCTATCGCCAAAGCACGACGAGGAAATGACTGATGCTCCACCTGTATTACATTCCGGATTGACCGGTGGTCTCAATCGACTATTATCACGTCCGTCAGTGTTCCCACCTTCTCCAGATTATTCCGGCGGGGATGCAAATGATGCATCTCCTGGTAGCCCGTTGAAGAAGACGAAAAGCTCCAAGAAACGTGGCCGAAGTCGTGTTGACACCATCAGCAATAATATCATGTCGCTGATCAGCACACGTCGCGAACATTCTTCAGAAGAAAGACCGAAACGAAAGCATCGAAAACACCGAGAGGCATCAGCACGGCCTTCGAAAGCAAAGATGATCGAGTACAAGCCGATGCACGAGAACGCTGATATCAAGGACGATTCACAAGTTGTACTCTACAAACCTCGATCAGAAATATTATTAGACTTTGTCAATAAAGGTCCAGATAGCGAACGAGGGATGAGCATGCACAAGGCACTCAAGGCGATACCACCGAGAGCGCACAGCGTCAGGTATGGCATTAAGTAAGGGCGAGGAGGAGAAGGAATTATGGCGAAGTCTACGGATGAAACGCAACGATAGAGGAGAGATTGTTTTATTCTTGTGATACCATACGTTTTTTCTACTTTTGTTCACGGCATTTGCATTTGCATTTGCATTTCAACTGCATGGTACGAGTAAGGTATCGCTCCAGTCAGGAACTGGAGGTGGGACGTAATAGCTAGACTGTGGATTTGGATTTCTTGTCAAGATCTAAGACGCTTTTCGTCCTGTCGAAGAATGCTAGAATTTTAAGCATATATCTGATTAATCCTCATGAACTCGCTTCTACTTCTACTCGATTGATTTTAAACAGCCTTATGCTCAGGTCGATTCTCATCTGCGGCCACTTCCCCGGCTCCGAATCCGTGATGCCGTCCCAGAGTACATGCAGCATGCAGACGGAATCGGTTCGGCTCCATGCAAGATTTCATTGTCCAGCATGACCGGTACTCAATTTGTCTTCCTCGGCCCGTTGCGCAGTTAATGTATGAGTGAGGATGAGTCAACTGGTGACTCTTGTGAGGCATCGCTTGCGAGAACGCTAGTAACGGCTTCGACGAGAGCCTTCCTTTCGCCACATATAGTCAGCCTTGTCTACTTCTACAATTCTCTTCTCCAATTCAACAATAAACTTCGTTCGCATAGCGGGTTGTGGTACTTTCTTTTCCTTTTCGAAGACGCCGTATTTCAAGGCGCATATTCCGACAGAGCACTTTCCCCTACAAAAAGAGGTCTCAGATAAATAGTACGGGTAATCGACCAGTCTTCTACCAACACCACCGCCGAAATACTTTCTCTCGATTCAATTCAGCTTCCGAATTCTGTCGCCACGGCTTCTCAATCAGTTACAACTTTGAACATCAACTCACAAATCATGTCTGCCGTCGAGGCCCCTCCAGCGCCTGCAGCCCGCGTTCGACCACCCCGCCACCGTCGTGGGAGGGGCGGAAATCGAGGACGAGGAGGTGGCGCTGTAGGAGAAGCATCTACACCACATACCCCAAATCCAGCCCTGGCATTACGGCCTGCTTCACTGCCATTCGTACCAGCGCCTGCACCGGCATCGAATGGCGATTCAAGAGGAGGTCGAGGTAGACGGGGTGGGGGACCTGGCAGAGGTGGGAGAAGAGGAGGGGCACAACCTATGGTCAATGGAAGGGCATTTGGTGGTCAACTTAGCTCGAGTGTACAAACTGCGAATATACCGGAAGGTTCATTAGCAGGAGATGCCGCTGTGTTCATCCCAGGTCAGCCAGTTTCATCAAGGGCACGACAACAGCAAGCTCCACGGCCTCGTCGCATGTCAAAATCGCAAGCTCCTGATATCGCCACGAGAACACATGAAGATATTACAAATGGTCAATACGAGTGTCTTATCTGTACCAACGAGGTGCTGCCGAATTCGAAAATATGGGGATGCAAAGACTGTTGGTCTGTACTTCATTTATCTTGTGTAAAGAAGTGGTCGAAGAACGAGGTTTCTACACTTCAACAGAGAGCTGCTGAGAATGGAGAATTACCGCCGCCGCGACAATGGAGATGTCCTGGTTGCAATCTGCCAAAGCAAGAATTGCCAAATAATTATACCTGTTGGTGCGCAAAAGAGATAGAACCTCGCTCATTGCCCGGATTACCTCCTCATTCGTGTGGTCAGACATGTTCTAAACCACGGGTAGGACATTGTCCACATCCATGTGAGCTTGTCTGTCATGCCGGGCCTTGCCCCCCTTGTGGACATAATGGACCGACATTACCTTGCTTCTGTGGGAAGGAGACTTCGACTCGACGATGTCTTGATACGAATTATGATAGTGGATGGGGCTGTGGACAAGTTTGTGATGATGCTCTGCCTTGCGGGGAGCATAATTGTCAACGGACTTGTCATGAGGGCCTTTGTGGTAGCTGCGAGGTTCTGATTGATTCTCGTTGCTTTTGTGGAAAGGTGGAGAAATTAATACCCTGCTCGGAGCGAGAAGATGAGCAGGAGAGTCATCTGAAGGACCAAACCTGGATGGGGTCGTTTGACTGTGGAGAAGAGTGCCGAAGACCGTACGATTGTGGAAATCCGGATCATTTCTGCCAAAGTACATGTCATGTGCAAGATGCTCAACCTGCACATTGTCCTTATTCTCCGGATGTCGTTACTCACTGCCCCTGTGGCAAGACTTTGATCGATTCGCTCCTAGAGGCCCCTCGAGAAAACTGCTCGGCACCTATCCCACGTTGCAAGGAGAAATGCCAAAAAGTTCTCGCTTGCGGGCATCTATGCCAAGACTTATGTCATGATGGAGAATGCAATCCATGTTTTCAAACCTCAGAGATCAACTGTAGATGTGGAAGGACAACCTCGCACACATTTTGTCATCAAGGTCTAGAAGAAGCGCCTATGTGTATGAGAGTAGATAGAACTACTCTGAATTGTGGACGGCATGAGTGTGGTGAACATTGCTGTCCGGGCGAGAAGAAGGCAAGCGAGAGGCAGGCAGCGAAACGAAAGAATCGATTTGCTGGTACGGATAACTTTGAAGCGGAACATATCTGCTTGAAGGCTTGCGGCAGGCCATTGAAGTGTGGAAATCATTCCTGCGCCGAACTTTGCCACAAGGGACCTTGCGGTACATGTCTAGAGGCAGTATTTGATGAGATTAGTTGTGCTTGCGGTCGAACCGTACTACAACCACCACAACCTTGCGGAACCCGCCCCCCGGAATGTCGATTCAATTGTACTCGACAAAGCAGTTGCGGTCATCCACAGGTTCCACATCAATGCCATGAGGATAACGAGGAATGTCCAAAGTGTCCTTTCCTAATGGAAAAGCTTTGTATTTGTGGCAAGAAGACAGTGAAGAACTCGCCTTGCTGGTTTAGTGAGGTTCGTTGTGGTTTACCATGTGGCAAGAAATTGAGATGTGGAATTCATTTCTGCCAGAAGACATGTCACAGGGCTGGGCAGTGTGAGGATGCAACTTCACCCTGTACCCAACCTTGTGGACGGAAAAAGACAGTTTGCGAGCATGCTTGTATGGATCAATGTCATGCTCCTTATCCGTGCAAAGAATCGACACCTTGTCAAGCAAAGACATTTATCACTTGCGAATGTCAGCATCAGAAGCAACCTGTTAAATGTCTTGCTTCCAAATCTAGCGAAGGCAACTCCAAGAAGACGTTGGATTGCAATGACGAGTGTTTGAAGATTCAACGTAATGCCAAATTAGCAGCAGCACTCAATATCGATCCATTAACGCACACGGATGATCATATTCCATATTCCCAGCAGACTCTTGACATGTTCAAAGTCATGCCCAAGTTTTGTCAGCAATATGAGAGGGAATTCCGGGTCTTCGCCGCCGATGAAAAAGAAAAGAGATTAAGATTCAAACCCATGCAGGCAGGACAACGTGCATTCTTACATTCTATGGCTGAAGACTTTGGGCTTGACAGCGAGTCTCAAGATCCAGAACCTCACCGCCACGTCTCCATTTTCAAAACTCCCCGCTTTGTCTCAGCGCCCATGAAAACACTCTCACAATGCGTGAAATCCAAACCAGCACCTCTTGCCGCTGAACCCGTAACCACCAACAAATCCTTGGTAGCAAACGCCGAACCCTACAACGCATTCCTCCTCATCAATCCCCGATTCGGCCTTACCATCGACGAACTCCACACCGATATCCATCCCGACTTCACCACCGCAAACTTTACCGATTGCGAGATCAGCTTCCTCCCTTCTGGCGACATCGTCGTCAAACCGCTCCTTACGACCTTTGCACCACCGCAACGTACGGAGGCTAGTCTAAGTTCGATGAAAAGTGCAATTAGCCAGAAGGTTAGCACGTTGGGCCTGGCGAAGAGTAGTACGTTGTGCGCGGTGGACGCGAGTTTGAATGTGTTGAGACGCGAGGACGAGAGTGTGGCGAGCCAGGGGGGGTGGAGTCAGGTTGCTAAGGGGGCGACGAGGGTGAGGGCGCCGGTTAGGAGTGATGTTGGGGTTAGGAGTAGTTTTACTGTGTTGGGGGTTAAGAAGGCGGGGAGGATGGGGGAGAAGGGGGATAAGGGGAAGGAGAAGGAGAAGGAGGTTGATGATTGGGAGAGGGAGGTTGAGGGGTGGGCTTGATGTGTGAAGTGAGGTTTTATGGGGATGGGAGGGGAAGGAAAGGGAGGGGAAGGGTTGAGGTAGATTCAAAATGAAAAATTATTTATTTGTTAAGGTGGATTGTGTAGTTATATGTGCCCTTTTTCTTTTTCTTGAACATGGTAAAGAGTTTTCAGACAGGGATAAGTTAGCTGTGAGTACATCTATTACGGCAAATGAATCTTCAGTTCTCAGCTAACATTATGTTTACCTAGATATCCTTTTACCTGCTTCGTACATGTTGTAAGTAACCAGCTTTTTCCGCCGCCGGCCTAAACGGTAACCTTACTAATTATGGTAAAGTCTCATACTAATCTTCGCCGATAATTCGCGAGATAGACCGAGTATTACGGCATTTCAAAGGAGTGCACAGATGTGGAGGGCTGTTTATTTATAGTATGTACGAAGTAGACACCCTTTTGGCATTTCCATACCAGTAAACATAGCGCCCTTCCACCCTGCTGAAGGTAAGCTTTATAGATACGGAGGCTCGTTCCGGTCGTTTCGCTGTCTGATTGGTGGGGTAATATATGAAAGGGGGTCGATTGTTAAGCGAAACTTTACAACTACTGTGAACTTCAAAAGTAAACAAACTTGAGAAGTAAGGACTTAACCTAAGGTTAAGTTAAAGAATCAACAGCTAAGATTCTAAGATTTCCCAATCTAGCAAAGCTTACAGCAAGTAGTCGAGATATCATCACACGACATCAAATTCCCAGCCAAACCCCCCGGCTCAACATTCCCCTGCTCTCGTAACCCAGATCCAATCCCGTCACACATGAGGCTCCGCAACCACGCCGCCCACGCGCATCCCCTACCAAGATCTCGCACCAGAATTTCCTCATCCGGGAAAGCCCATGGATCTGGTAAGGCAATGCGCTGTGCGTCGCGGTTCATCCCATCCGCCACTTTTTCTTTTCGGATTTGACTCCCTCGTAAGCCATCTTCACACTCAAAATGAGGGTGCTTCGTTGTCTAACGTTCGTTTTGCCCGTGGTAGGACTCACGCCATGGAGCGTGCCCGCGTCCAAGTTCAAGCGCGCGTTATGGATGAGCTGTAAGTTCCCCTCTCGTCTGGTAGGGAATCATAATGCTGATTGGCAAAAGCGGTGGTGGTGGATGACTGGTTGTACATCGATGGCGGGGAGTTCTACGATACAGACGCGACGTCGTATGCGGATATACAATATAGTAATCCCTTATTCTCTCCCCAAGTTTCACAGGATAATGGATTAACAGCCTCCAGCACCAACACTGTCCATCGACCTCTCCCAATCATGGTCAACCTCCGACGTCGTCATAAACCAACTCGACAAACCAAGTGCCATCAGCGGGAACAACACGCTTCGCGCCCCGGGTCTCTTCTGGTCGCAGTACTGGCGCTCCATCATCGTCTTCGGCGGCAACACCTACGGCGCCTCGAAAACGTCCTCCCAGCTCGCCATCTGGCAGTTCAAAGTCGGCGCCGTGGCTACCGGCGACGGTAACTGGACTGAGACCCGCGGCCCGGACAACGAGCTCTGGAAAGCAGTGCTGTGGCCGTACAGCGCGGCGTATGCGTCTGGCTCCCCGGCCGGGTTGGCGTATGGAGGTATCACGGTGAATGATCAGGATTCGAATAACACGCCTGCGCCGCTGGGCTATACGACGGTGAATAGCACGCAGAATGAGTATCACCAGTTTTATTATGAGACGAAGACGCCCGGGTTGGTGGATGGGAAGGGTCATTATATGGGTGGGTTTGGAGGGGAGGATGGCGTTGCGGTGGTGGTTGGCGGACGCAGTTTCACGAGTAATGGACCGGGGAGTTTGAGGAATATGAGCCAGGTTATCGTGATGGATATGACGAATCGAAGGGTTTTCAACCAGACGGCTACGGGTGATGTGCCGAAGGGACGGGTTCATCATTGTATGACGGGCGCGCAGGGCAGTGATAGTTATGAGATGTAAACCCCCTCCATTTCCTCCCTATACACAACATCTCTAACACAAGCAGTTTTGTTTTAGGCGGCTCCGACCCCAATTTCTTCAACAACGAAGCCACAGACCTCCAAAACGTCTACATCCTCTCCCTCCCCGCCTTCCGCTGGTTCAAGACCCCCGTCGTGGTTCCCGCGCGCGCAGGCGCAAATTGTCATGTGGTGCGCAACCAGATGCTGACGTACGGCGGCTGGGACCCGACGACCTCTTCTTCGTACGCGAGTGCCGACAGCTGGACGTACGGGTTGGGGATCTTTGATACGAGTTCCCTGACTTGGGGCACGGCGTTTAATGGTAGTGCGGAGGTGTATGGGACGCCGGAGGTGGTGAAGAGGTGGTATGCTGGGAAGTAAGTCGACGTTTTATTAGTGTTTGGGGATGTGCTGTTGGCTAACGTGTGTATGTAGTTCTAAATACCCAACCTGGAACGACCCAGACACCGCAGCACTTTTCACCACTCTCCGCGCAGCCGCAACTTCCTCCTCACCTACATCCACCCCCACCCCATCCTCCACATCGGGCTTAAGCGCACCTCTCCCCTCTCTTCCCGCCGACTCGAAAACGAATGTAGGCGCCATAGCCGGGGGCGTCGTCGGCGGCGTCGCCGTGCTTGCTGCTGTGGCTTTCCTGCTTTGGTTCTTCTGTATGCGTGGGAAGAAGGAGAAGGGCGAAAAGGGGGAAGGGATCCCGGAGTTACATAATCAGAGGGATGTGCCGGAGATGGTTGGGGAGGGGAGACCGTTTTTGGAGATGGACGCTGGTGGGGAGAGGAGGGGGGCGTATGAGGTTGATGGGAGGGAGAAAGGGGGTGTGGATGTGAAGGATGTGAAGAGGGTTGAGCTGGAGCCTGTGGAGTTAGCTTAGGTTTCTGAGGTGCTTTTAGGGGGGCTTGGTTGTTAGGGGTGGTGTATATAGGTATAAAGAGTATAAGAAGCTGATCCTAGGAGTGCGAATGTTAATCAAACCACCCTATAGATATACTTACACCCGCCGTTTCACCCTTACAGAAGATAAGGTCGATACGTAGACTCGTATCTAGACAGGTAAGTCGAATTTACTTTTACAATTCCGTCTCCACCTCCACCTAATTTCCTTCCTCCCCTCGGAACCAAATCTCAAGTAAACATCTACCTCGTGAAATTTCTCATTTAAAACTCCCCTTCCACCCAGCCTACTCCTCACGACAGCACGTAGCCTTTTTGAAGGTCTAGCAGATGTTTTGGGCCGTGTGAAGGATAGTGAAAGGTAGTTGGGATTAGTGATAAGTCGCTTAGATTTATCGTCGTGCTGTTTAAATGGAATCGGAGCTTTTTTTTCGGTATAGGAGAGTGATGGTGTTGCGTGGTTTGGTTTGATAGTAGGTTGTCCACGGACTTGATGCTCTGAGAAGACAGTAGATCTATACCCTCACGATTATACACTTGAGCATCTATCTTCCATCTCGAGCAATAGGGCTTTCACCATAATTTCCACATCATGACTTCCTAATTCCTATTCCATTACCGCATCCCTCTACTTTCTTAAGCCTTAAACTCTTTATGCATATCCATGCGCCTGATGAACAGATAAATTTTTTTTATTACCCATGAATGCTAGGATTTGATTCCCGTTATGTGAAGCTGTCTGAGTGACTAGAGACGAGTGGGGATCGGGGATCACAACACCTTTTGCGAAGAGGAGGAGGTCGTTGAAGAGGGATTTAAGTTGGAAAGTCTAAGAGAGGTCTAAGAGAGATGTGGTTTAGCTTACGCCAGGTTTTGAAAAGGAGACTGTGCGTAAGAGGGGGGGATTGAGAAGTTAGTGTGGATTTTTTTTGGAATGGGTATAGATAGGTACTAGGATATGAAGTGGAGAGTAGATATACTGTATACGAGATAGCCATGAATATACTTACCAATCTTCGTGAGCACGGAAATTGGGGAAAGTGTTGAAGATGTATAATGAGTCTTCCAGTATTAAAATCTCCTCTCTCCGCGTTCTGACTTTCTTTCTGCTACTGACATGATATGGATTGAACTTTCCTTGATTCGAACAAGTAGCGAATTCCACATGGCGACGGTCTTCGGTTTGCAAATCCTCGTTCGGTCGCTGTGCGAACGATGAAATTGGTAATGGAGATGTTTTGATGACTGAGTATAGTGACGCCCGCCGCGTCGTAGCGAGAAAAGGATCGCAATGTTCGTCTTCTGTGCTTAAAAAGGTGGAGTCGTGAAAGATGTGAGATTTCCAATGCCGTGTTTAAAAGGATGATAGGATTGACGGGGGAATTGAAATCGCTGAAGGATATATTCATCCATGAGATACTATTAATAAAGAAATTCCGCTGTTCATATTAAATTCATCGATATCCTGCCCTGAAATCAGAAATCCACCCTCGCTAACGCCTACCCTCAATATCTCCTTCCCTCTCTCTCGCCCCTCTTCCCCATCCCTTATCCTCTCACTTCCTCCCAAACAACCACTCCTTCCCCTTCTCCGCCAGTCCCTTACTCCTCTCTTGATCCCCACTCTTCTGTCCCTCCACCACCTCATCCGCCACCGCACTCTCCCACTTCATCTTATCCTTCTTCGCAGCCTCGAGGTCCTCGGGGGACGGGTTATAGATATTCGCCGAGCCGCCACGGCCGATGTGGGATTTGTTTTCGGAGATGCGACGAGGGTTGCTTGATATCAAAGTACATTAGTAAAGATTGTTTTAATCGTGGTGGGGGAATGAGAGGAGAGGATGTGAATTAGATAGGAAGAGGAGACACACCCAGTAACATCCTGCGCTCGTCTCGTCGCCTCGGCATCAACATTCTTCGACATATTCCCACTCCCCCCGCGTCCCGTGGTGTAGAAATCACTCTTGATCGTCGGCGTCTGCAGGTCTTTTTCCGAGACGGGTTGGGGTTCGACGGGTGTGCTTCCTATATTACCTACGCGTATATCAGCATGACAACTCGCACGCTGAGAGAAGAGGAATGGTGGTGAGGAATATCTCACCAGCGCCTCCCCGTCCATAACTCAACGCGGCTCGATTCTCTGACGAACTACGACGATTCGTCTCAGACAGATGTGGTGGGATCGCGGCCATGATTTCTATCGTCCTGTTCGCCCTTTCTTTTCGCTATCTGTTCTGTCGATTTCTGACGTGCGCAAGCAAAAGCTGAAAGATAACAATCAAAGTCGTGACAGTTGAATTTGCGACGGCGCCGTTATAGTTCGATCTAGCTGCTTGGGAGATGGGAATAGTGGGGACCCTGGCCGTGAATAACAAGTATCCTTCGTCTTTCCTCTCTCGACTTTCTTTCCTCTTTAAACAAAAGCAGAAGTCTTCTCAATTCACCTTTCAAATCTCAAAACCTTCCCCAGGAATGCGGACACCCTCCCTTTTCTACCCTCCCCCTCCATCACACAACCCAAGCCGGCGCAGCACCCAACATACATTAGCCAGCCAAAGCCATGCGAAACGAGAATCCGGGGTGTAACTATACCCCAAGCAGAGTGTGACATGAGAAAGCGAAATGAGAAAAAATGCGGATTCCCGTCAGGTACGAAAAAAAGCCCTTGTCGCGTCCAGTCAGAGAAATCCATTACTCAATAAGGATCCTTTTTTAGCGAGACCCCTCATCTGGAGATACAGAAGGATTGCCGATTTTCCAACAACCACCAAGGGCCGATTTTGAGGGCTGGATTCATGGTGAGCTCGTGATATTCTTATATATATATTGTTAGTTTAACGAGTATTCATTTATCTTTGGGCGAAGAGTAGAAGAGAGATTTACAAATCCTATAACCGTCCCTCGATTTTCACAAGACGGGAACCTTCAAAAGTCGCAAATGACGCACTACCTTGGCTCAGCCAGGGCTGTCCCATCCTCGCGTAAAAACGTAATGGAAATAAGGTAGAATAGGGCTCGTGTAATGCCAGATGGATGGCGCCATCGTCTTCCAAGGCTGCGCTGCTTGGCTGGATGGCGAGATCACAGCTTTCATTTAACGTGGTAGATGTGCTGGATCTTGTAGGTTGCGGAAGACCAGGGATGTGAAAACGTGATATGCACGATAGGGGGTCGTGATTGAGGCTCTTGGGAGAAAGAAAAAGCGATGCTCCATCCATATCAAAACTCACGACCATCATCAAATCACTTCACAAAAACACAGGATATTCAATTCTCAATTCCTTCATTCCTCAACACCGCAATCACTCATTCATCACATAAATACATCTAAACCCCTCCGTCCATCCATCTTACCCTACCCTACCCCGTCCTACCAACCAGCCATCCCAGATCTAAAAACCCATCCCCATCCATTCATTCGTCAACTCAAACTCCAGTTGTGGTGATGACATCCCCTCTCTCAGACCAGGTTATCAGGAATCTATCCTTTTGTCTCACCACGAGGGAATGAATATTCGTCCAAGTCGATCGACAACCCCGGTCCAACAAGAAAGAGCATCAAATATCTCCACAAAAATAACTTCCACAGGAAGTCCTCAAAAATGACAACAGCACTACCAATCATGCTTCCCTCCATGGTATAAAAACCCAGCCATCCATCAAGAATTGACGAAAAATAAACTGCAAAATTTGCTCTTTTCGCTGAGAATCGCCCCAAAAGTTTAGAAAAGATCGCTCCCTCCATGCACCCCTTAGACGCTTGGGAATAACAACAATGAGATGTAAAGTGATCCATCCACCCTTAATAAAAACGCCAATGATCTGCATCCATTTGTATTTGGTATCCCGATCCCAGCCGGCCATAATTTCCTTTTCGACATGAATTTACCAACTCCAGCGAGAAACCATCTACTGGCTCTCTCTCAAAAAACGCCGTTACACACAAGAAATGTTTTGCTTCAGTCGGTGGCAAGTCGTGCAAAGTGTTTGCTCCAAATCCAACCGACTCGATCGCTAGGGTCGTCTTGATTTTTGGCAAGCCAGAGCTCGCCTTTTTCGCCAATCACGTCAAAGATCTAGAAAAGTTAGCCGGGGTTAATGCAAGAGAGATTTAAGACATACCTCTCCAGCTGAATACGTCAAATAGGGATATCCAGCTTCAGACTTTGTAGCACTGATCTGGAACTCAAACAAGCTTGCCGCGAGATATAGAACTTTGTAACCACCCGGAACGTTACGGTCGCGAGAAGAAGCCCTCGAAGATCTCATACTATCTTCAGGACCATCAGGTAATGGCATCGCAGAGCGGAAGATACCCGAGTAAGGCCGATTTGATGTCGGAGGCCCATCAGCATGGTACGCAGAGTTGTGCGTAGATCCAGATTCGCGTCGAGCCGGTGTATTATAGTCGCTTCCACCTCGCGGCATACCGCTGTCTGATGCAAAACTCCTACCGGTATTGGGTCGCGCAAGGCTAGCGGCTGAAGGACGGGGCTGAATCATATAATCCGGAGTAGCTGGTGATCCAGATCCTTGACGAGAATGCATTGTCGGCTGCGGTGTGGCATAAGGCGTTGAATACGACAGCGAAGGTACGTTTACGGACGGTGGATGTATTGGTGACATAACGAACTGGCCACTGAGTCGCTTGGCGAAATCTGGCGTTGGAAGACTTGGTGTCCGCTCACTGTTGATCGAAAGCCCACGAGATCGACTGGAAAGATTTGATGGACGTGGTTTCCTACTATCCGTGTCTGATTTAGCAGCACTACCAACTTTTTCTAAGCCGTTAAAGTTGCCGTTGATGATTCCTAGCTCCTGAGGCCGAGCCTCTTGGTATTTGTAGTCACGCTTGAACGCATCGACAATATCGTTGATATCCTTTGGAATCTGGCTCTCTTCTAGCACCATCTTGACCTTTTTCTGCCAAATATCAAACCATTCACTCTGGATCATGATGAATCGGGATAGAGCTATCATGCTTATTGTTTCACTCTTTTTGAACAACAAAGGCAACTCCTCTTTCAAGGTCTGGTTCAGGTGGTTGTACTGTTTAATTTTCTCCGCGTCTTTATCGTTTGGTTTGGCAACACCGCTGAGCTTCTCGAAATCGATTCGTCGCTTTGCTCGTTGCTTGATTGCTAATCCAGGAGGGCCGTAAAGGTGAATGAGTGTCTCAAAGGGCTTGATGACTTGTTCTTGTACGTTATTAGTCTGTATAATTGTTAGTAAAGAAACGTAACCAGTCTCTGAAACTGACATGTTCACCGACGACTACGGTCCCCATATCCCTCATTGACATGTTGAACCGCACCCATTTGCTCTCTATTTCGGGGAACGAACTCGCTGTTACTCGCATGTGAAGCTCCATTGCCGAGTACAATTTTAGCTGGTCTTCCACCCAGACCTTAGCTTTAGCATTGTAGTCCTCGACATCGCGAAGAACAACCTGGAGCTGCAGATACTCGTGAACATACTTTCGGTCAAGCTTGAGGTAGTTCGCATCATCGGGAATACGACCATTTGGAATTTTTTCTGTAGCTCTTTCCTTTGTCCTACCAAATGCCTTGGCCAGACCGGATCGAACATCTGATTCCTTTCGTTTGCGACCTGCAACGGCCTTATGAACGGTTGAAATACGGTCTTTCATACTGTCGATGTTTGAAGTTAACGCCCGGAGCTCATGATATGTAGTTTGCAGAGCTAGATAATCAGGGTGATTGGCATCGGTAGAGTCAATGATGCCCTTGAAGATCAACTCATATCGTGTAATTCGCTGAAAGGGTTTGACCATCAATGCGTCAATGTTCCACGCATTCGTCAAGTCTTTTGCAACAATATCACACTCGCTTAACCAAACTTTGACCGATGGATCGGTTTGCAGAGTTTCCAACCTGGCATTAGCGGCATCTCCATTCTTCAAAAAGTCAGTATAGACGTTTTGCATACGTTTCAGATGCCGGCCGAAACTTGCGCCGATAAATGTCTTTTGGTCTTTTTGTTCGTCTGTCAGGTGCTCTTCGTTCAAGGTTCCGGCCGTAGAAAATCGGTCGCCAGCCGAGCCTGCTTGACCGGAAATACCGGTTGCGGTAGTTGACCTGCTTTCCCTCGATCTTTTCGTTGTCCTGGGAGAATATACAGCAGCCGCTCCCGCCTTCATATCATCAAGCAAAGTGGTAGTGAATGTCACAATTTCGTGCGAGTTTCGGAATATCGTCTTGATATCGCTAGAGTCGAGCTTAGGGCAAGCTTCCGCGGTTCCCTGATAGATTTCTGTAACAACATTCATGTCTTTGAGATACATAGACTCGGTATCAATCAGCTCGGTGATGCCCATTTTTCTTTTGAATAACCGCTTTCTCAAGACTTCTGCGGCTTCTTTCTCCTCTGCTGTTTGTGGCTCCACCGCCTGCCGACTAGCCAGTTGGGCTGCAGCGACTGCATCTTCGAATGATATCTGAGTGCTAGATCGGGGTGTGGATACAGAAGGTCGAGATGAGTAAACATCATCGCTGCCACGTCGGGACTCGGGAATCTGATTAGGATCATGGCTAGATTGATAGCTAGATGGCGGCCTTTTGTTATCTTGAGTAAGAGGTAGTGGCGGCGTCCGGGTGGGGGCGACTGGGGCTTGATCAATCGAATCACGAGGGACAGGAGGCAGTGGAGGTGAATAGTCTGGCCACAAAGGACCTGAAGTCGCACTTAACCGATGATCTTCGGCAAAACTCGTCAAAAATCCGTCGCCAGTCGATAGTGGAGGAAGCCGCTGGTGGCTTGGACTTGGGATTCGAGGTGAATAAGCCGATGGATTTGGTGATGGCAGTGGACTGTAACCCGCTGGTTTCGGCGGAACTGGAGGCGTTGGGGAAGGAGGGCGCGAGTATTCCCTTGCCAACGTGCTTCTCCTTTCCGAGCCTGCAGTAGACGAGTCTCTGGGTCGAGAATCCCCTCTAGAATTCACCGAGTAATCTGTCCATTGTGATTGTCGGCTTCTACGATCAACCTGCATCGGCGCATCTGGATTGGCATCGTACGGATCATACGTTGATTGTCTTCTGGATGCAGACAGACCTACAGACCCTTCATCATCCATATCCGTAACCGGGGTGTTGAGATAATCATTCTCAGCTTCACTGACTGCAACTGATGGAGGGTCTAGCGCAGTTCGAAGATTTGGAAGCTGCAGTTGTCGGTCATTGGGAGTATCAGGCGACACAGCGTAATCTGGCTCAAAGTTGAACTGTTGGCCGTCTTGATACGAAGTTATTGCTGAATGATTGGACCTATCATAGGAGACTGGAAAACCATTACTTTTCTCCCTGTTCATCTCTTCATGAGACCCAAACGCCGTCGAAGGCCTTGATATATCTGGTGGAGATTCCTGATTTGGGCTCTCCGTATAAAACGACGAACTGAGGACATGTTGACCATGATTCTCACCCGTTGCTTCGCCATTCGACACTGCTTGGGGTTCGTTCTCGCCAACGGTGGAACTGCGAGATGGATCGTCAACTGGGGTAGTAGCAAGCATGATATCTATGGACCCTTGGTGCTCCTGATTGAAACCATACATGGCCTGTTCGGGACTCAAGTGATCTTCACCAAAAGTCATCTGAGCCGACAGGTTACTCAAGTTACTTGTTTGCCTCGTGTGGCCGTTGGTACGCACGGAAATCATACGATTCAGACGAGCTTCCTCCGTTTGCGGTTCGTTGTCTATCTCAGTGATCCCCGTAGCGCAGGAGATTGCAGATGCAGGCTCCTCATCCACAAAGGTTCCCGGCATACCCAGAGTCGGTGAGTCTTCCATAAAAGCCGTACTCGCAGGTATAGCAGGAGGGTTTGTGAATGAAGTGGTAATTTGTAATGGTGGAGGGCTCAATTCGGCGTCAGATCGCATATCGTTGGTATAAGATATTGGAGGCGTTTCCGGCCTGGTCTCTGCTGTACTCTCCTCCTTGTTTGCCTGTACCATCGAATTTCTTGCTTGCCGCTCACTCAACCGCCGCATATTCGCTGCGCAGATCTCCTTCTGTTCGCTTTCATAAATCGACTTGGTATATGCCCGCTGGATGGTCGCTCTACGAGCTGCGTAGTCCACAGGTCCTGTACCCGGTACCTTTCGAGGTTTCGGGTCTTCGGAGCCGCCATTTCGTGTAAGTTTCATGCCGCTGCGAGCCTGTTGCGAGGCAGGTCTTGCTGTTCCATGTTGTTGTTTTTCGGGCGATGCGGACGACACAGGTTGCCTCGGACGGGAGCTGCGTAAGGGTGGGGACGCTTTCGATGGTGCAGCCGAGATATAGGCATTTAGACTGCTGTTGGTAGCTTGTTCTAGCTTCCTCCCCCTACCACCGGCACGAGGAGTTTTCTGAGTCGGGGTCATCGCGCGGCTTCCAGGTGGAGTCACGCGAGAAGCAGCACTATATGGCCTGGATGGGGTTTTTCGAGTCTTTCCATTGGAAAACGTCTTTGTCGTGAATGGAGACGATGCTCGTGATATCGGACTTGAAGACTCGGAAGAATTACTCAGACGCTTGCTAGATACTGGGATTCTCGAAATTGCCGGCTTGCTTGAGTTGGACGAACCATGCGATGGTGGTGTTTTAACAGGCGGGGGTTGGAATTGAGGGCTGACACCATTCATAGTATTGACCTTCGTGTCCGCAAAATCGCTGTGGTTGCGATTGTGACCAGGTGAGGAGCGCGGGAATTTTTGAGGATCAACATCGTCTGATTTTGGTTTAACTTCAAGGTACCATGCGGTAGGCGAAGAGGGAGAGGTATCAACAGCAGAACGACTGCGTTGGTGGCCACCCCAACTTGGATGCAGCCCTGAATCTGAGGTTCGTCGCGTGGCGGAGTGAGGGATCCCGTAGCCAATATGATCCGGTTGTGGTCCAATGGGTAGAACTTCACCAAAAAGTGGCCGTCTCGCTGGTGTTTGAGGTAAAGATGGAGGATTCGCGGTAGGCGATGTGGGTGAAAGGTTTGTCATCGACTTTGAGGGTTGTGGTCCAGAAACCGAGTGCCGCGGACGGGAGACGCGGGTCGCACTCGAGAGTGTATTATTCGAATGCTGGTCTTCGGTCGCGAATCTCGTTCGTTGTGTGGCTCTCAACTTTTCTGGAGATCTTCTGCCTGTGCCATTTTCTCGTGTAGATAATCCCGCCCGTGACGCCGAACTTGCTGTATGTTGCAGACTGTGGTTCGCGGTGCGAGCCATATACCCAGGTTGCTCTCGCTGATATCCTCTACTTTCCGGTGTCTTCTGCCTCGGAGCTATACGACCTGGCGGTTTGCGAACCACGGAACTGGACTGCTCGTTATTTGAGTCAAATCGTTTCAGCAGATCCTTGACGCTCGGCTGTTGACCTCTGGGAAGTCCATTGAGAGCCGGCGAGGATCTCGCAGAACTCAAACCTGCTCTGTCGTCTAGAGGTGAAGAGGCTGAACGATAGCCAGCTTTGCCAGTTCTTCCTGGTATTGACGGATGTTTTGGTGTTGTGCCATTCCCATTCGACCTCAACGAGGACGGCCCTGGCCGAGACTCAGACGCCATCGCTGCCATTCCGTTTGCGTTGTCTGTGTATCCGTTCGCCGACTGATGCACTCCTCGATATTCTCTGTAGAATTCGGCCGGGTCTCCTCCATCAATTACGCCGTGGTTCGAAAATCCATTCGCGGCGACGGCTTGGAGGTTCGCGGTGGTGAGAAAGGGTAGCTTTGGGGGCAGCTGCGGTTGCGGCGTGGATCTCGACTCGAAATCGGGTAGCGGAGGAGGTTCGTAATGATGCGGGTGTAAGGGTTGCGGGTGGTGAGAATGTTGGTGAAGGTTGAGGTTGTGGTTGTGGATCTGGGGGTCGGGGTATTCGGTGGCAGAGTGAATGAGGCGCCTAGAATAGAAATTCTGGTCTTCGTTGATTCCGCCTTCCATCGTGCGAGGACATCGGGGGGGAGAGCTCTCTGGTGGGTGCGGCGCCAGTGCCGTAGAGGTCAAGTTGGTTGTGCAATGTAATACGCCGTCGCGGTGGTGGTCCGTTTGGTGAGCGACGAGTCTTTCGTAGGTCGAACTAGGTAGGCAGCGCAGCCAGCTTCACCCAAATCGACGTCGGTGGTTGTGCTACAACGAATGATCCATGCAACTCGTCAGAGGGTCGTGGAAGCATCTGAGTGGCCGCGAAACGTGATTGGCGACTCGATGTTTGAAGTGTACGAGGAGTCGAGGACGGGGAGAGAGAGGAGAGGCGATGGCTGTGGTTGTCGTGCTTCCAAGGCGAAATTCAACCAAGACGGGATTCGTTAAACCAAGGATGGATAGCGATCCAGACTGACCAAGCAGAACCGCAGTCGAGATCAAGTTATCAGACGCAGAAAAAGCATAAATTCTGGGTGCCCGGCGGTCTCTGGTCGGGTCTGCGCAGTCAGGTCAGACTGGTCCGGTGCGTCTGCTGTCGACCGTTTGTCCGCGTTTGCTCCTACTGCAAGACTGCAGGCCGTTTCCCTGACAAGTCGTGCCTTGGATACGTTAAAAGTTTAGTGTTCAGTGCCGTAATTTGCAGATGGGGGAGCGTGCGGCAGAAGAATGGAGACAAGCAATGCACCGTGAAAGCATAAACTCAGTATTAAATTATGAGATGAGATGTAGAATATCTGGTCTGACTTCGCTGCGCGAAACGGTGATGCGCAAGTAGCCTTGCTATTCGTGGTGTTGTGTACACTTTGGATGCAGTCGAGGAGATTATTTCTCATAAGCAAAAGCGGCAGGCCTCAATTGTTTTGCATTTATTACGAATCCCGTCAAAGCTGTATATGTTTACATCAGCTTCTTTCTCTGAGACTCCCACGAGCCTACATCGAAGTACCTATAGCTACTCGTTATATGTATTCTTGATGCTATCTAAACGTCCCCCGCTAAACCGAAAGAGCTAGGTCTAGATCTTGGCAACAACTAACCTTAGTTCTACGGCGACCACACACGATCAACATGGCAAAACACATCAACCTCTGAACATCGCGAATTCCCATCAACGCGACTCCACTCTCTCGTGGCCGCAACTTTTAGCTCTTGATTAAGCACGTCTTAGCCCGGTTTTACACCACCCAATTCCACTAGCTCGGCAACTTTACCTACGGTACTCTCCTGAATTAGCAACAACGTTGTTTGAGACCGCGTTGTTGATCTGGAGCATTCAGCAAGGGGTAAGTTGAGCATATTGAATTGAATCTACCACATTAGGTGTTGACAACCTATCAAGCTGTTAAATGTCACGATAAATAAGCAAAACTCAAATAATCATTCCACACGAACCTGTGCCACCGGATTCACATTCTGTAAACTTCTCGTGGCTGCGGCGTTGTGCTCAGTTTTTCTGTCATACACAAATCGATTGGCCCGCGTACGCCGTCCGGTACCCAACCTTCCAGAAGCCTCATTGAGGACCTATGAGATTATACCTTATCTGACCTGCAGTAAGCAACTTCCCATACGGCATGTTTGTCCTTCATTCCATCCAATCATCAAGACCTATTCGACAAGGGCATGAACTCTAAATCATGGAAATTAAAAAGGGCGAAACTAATGATACAAACAGAACGGGAAAAAAAACGTCACAAGAAATGCTCAGCTGATGGGCAATCAGACGCGGTCAGTGGTTTTGTATCACAGGAAGGTTGAGTGGTGAATACGAGTAGATGGATCAATACGTCGGGATCTACAACAAGGTAGTCTACCATGATCGACAGTATGGCAGGAAAAAGAAAGAGAAAGCGCCCAAACAAATCTCTAGGTCTTGGGAGTTCCGAGAAACGCCAAAAGATATCTAACCCAACAAAGACTATCGCTTCAAGGGACTCGGTTGTTAAGCAGGCTCTACTTAGCCAATTCTATCCAGAAGTCTTGACATTACGCGAGTATCTTCTTTCCAGGCTGCCAACCACATCAAAGATCAGGAGAAAAAAGGTCTTGTACGTTGGGACCGTCAAGGATAGTGAGGCATGTGCCAACTCGAGTCTATCTACATTCCTCGATCGGACGTTGGTAGGCGCAACTAAATCTAAAGATGCGAAAAGGGAGGATCGATGGAGGCATTGGGCGGCATTCTCTCAAAGAGTTGATGATTCTATATCGACACTGATTGACTTGAACTCGATTGGGAAATTCTCACAGTCTGACGTGGGTTTAGTTGTGAAGAACTTTTGTCTTAATTATCCACTAATATTTGGGCAGATTGTAGATTTTGCTATATGGCTTTTATTCTCGAGGGGAAATACAATCAGTGGACGAGTGCAACATCTATTATGTCAAGGTTATCAAAGGGATGCGAACTCGCGGATGATGAACCGAGCGGAAAATGCTCCCAATAACCACGTCTCTACTATCAAATCGGATCCATGGCCGCAAGTGCTTCTTCTCATGGGGAATGAGGGCGAGAAAATGATGCTAGACTTACTACTGGATTGCGGCCTGTTTGTAGAGGTTACTAACGGATGTGAGACTTATCATCAGTTGAGTGGTAAGTTTGCACGGAATTAGCATTGAAACATCAAGCTGACTCTCTTAGGCCTACCTCTAAATGACCTGCAGACTTTGCCAGAGAGCACTGGTGGGAAAGCTGGATCTCCCCTGGAGGCTGTATCAAGACCTGCTTCGGCTGTAGAACACAGTCCATCAAACATAAACTTCGTTCGAAGCCGCATGCTATATGCGAGGGCATCTCTGAACGCGCAAGGAGGCGTGAGATTTGGTTTTAGGCATATACGTGAGTTTCATCAAGGTAGATATCAGAATACACGTTGACATGTTTTTTTGTTAAAAACAGATGTACTTAATCGGTGCCAAGTTGCCTCAAATCATCAATTAAAAGAGCAACGTTCAGCCCCGCCTCCCACGCAGACAGATCCTAGCACAATCCATATCATGATGTATCTATTCCCAAGGCAATTTGGACTGCACAATGCTTTTACAGGCAAAGTTGATCACCGTCAAACGGTACAGCCATTCAAGGATTATACACTTCGTGAAGATGAAATCAATGAGAAGTACCCGCAGGAAAGGCAAAGAAAAATTCCAAAGCGACTTCGGGGAATGGCCGTAGGTCTAGTACAGAAGCTGCAGATTCAGCACCAAAGGTGTGCGTATAAGAAGTTGTTGGAGTACTATTGCCCGGTATGTCCTTGGATATCTAGTTGTTAAGTCTGCTAACTTGATAGGTTATATCTTCAACCCCCAGGTTTCCGCTCCCTCCAACGCTCGACCATGTCGCTAAAGACTCTTCTACTTTACTCAGGACACAAAACACAATTGCTTCGACAAGAAGTCCACTTAAAAAGTCCAGGTCAATGGACAATAGCAAGGAGGACACAAGCAAAGCACCGTCCATGATGAGCCATGCAACCCCTTCGTCCATGGTTTCTGCCTTTTGCCGTTCCGTACTTTCGACATTGATTCCGAGACGCTTTTGGGGAGCTGGAGAGACGCAAAAAAGCAACGAGAAGATATTTCTTCGAAACGTGCACCGTTTTATCGAATTGAGAAGATTCGAGAGTTTATCACTCCATGAAGTAGCTCAAGGCATCCAGGTATGACTGCTCCCAGTTCCTAACTTTTATGCTGATGGAAATCTTTCAGATCTCGAGCATAGAGTGGTTGCAATCACCGAATTGCGTAAACAATAAATCATCAAAATCTGACACCAAGAAGAAACTGGAGATTTTTCTTGAGTTCTTATACTACTTTTTCGACTCTCTGCTTATCCCATTGATACGAGCGAATTTTCATGTTACCGAATCTAATGTTCATAAATACCGTATGTTTTATTATCGCCATGATGTTTGGCGATCACTCGTGGAGCCAGCAATCGCGACGCTGAAGATCACCATGTTTGAAGAAGTCGAGCTGGAAAAGGCACGGAAACTTTTGAATTCTAGAAAATTAGGGTTTAGCCAAGTTCGATTGCTACCGAAAGAGACTGGAGTTCGGCCAATTGTGAATTTAAAAAGACGACCTGTAAAGCCAGGATCAAAACTTCTTGGTAGCAGTATCAACACAATTCTGGCGCCAGTTTATAATGCGTTCACATACGAAAAGGTAAGCTCTTTATCAAGGACATAGGCTTCGACTAATATTTCTAGTCCCTTGACCCTACCCGATTTGGAGCCACATTGTTTTCTGTTGGTGATTTGTACACAAGGCTCAAGGCGTTTCAAACGAAGATCTCGAACTCGTCAAAACCATTATACTTTGTAAAGGTCGATGTCAAAGCTGCCTTCGACACGATTCCACAAGCATCAGTCATCGAATTAATGTCATCCCTCTCCTCGAAGCCAGCATATCGTATATCCAAACACGTAGAAATCAAACCCGGAGAAAACTACCGTGAAGACCTTCCCGGCAAACGAAAAGCCAAACCAATGCGAAAATGGGCAGCTCTCGCGCGTGGAGCGAAGGATCCTATGACATTCGAAGATACCCTCAAAAACAATCTAGCAGTCGGAAAGAAAAACACCATCTTCGTTGACAACATAATAAACCAATATCGCAGCGCAGACGACCTTCTCGATCTCCTCTCCGAACACGTAACTCGTAACATGGTCAAAATCGGCAAGAAATTCTACCGCCAGAAAGAAGGAATCCCACAAGGTTCCGTCCTCTCATCCCTCCTATGCAACTACTTCTACGCCGACCTCGAAGCCCAACATCTCGGTTTCCTCAATGAAAACGACAGTCTCCTCCTCCGTCTCATCGACGATTTCCTCCTCATCACCACATCGCACACACAAGCTCGACTGTTCCTCCAGAAAATGCACGATGGCGTCCCCGCATACGGCGTGCAGGTCAATCCTGCCAAAACGCTCGTTAATTTCGAGGCGACGGTTAATAATCAGAAGGTCGCGAGATTGGTCGGGACGAGGGCGTTTCCGTATTGTGGGGCTTTTATTGATACGAAGAGCTTGGATATATCAAGGGATCGGGAGAGGAGGAAGGATATCGGTATGTTGATGTCGCTTGTTTTGCTTCGGGGTCTGGGAGAGCTGGTTGCTAACTGCTACAGCGGTCGTGGATTCTTTGACGATTGAGTTTTCGAGGACGCCGGGGCGGTCGTTTCATAGGAAGGTTTTAAGTAAGTCGATTGCTCTCGTTTTTATGTTGTCGTGCGCGATCTCTGTGTCGTGCCTTAAATGCTAAGCTGTATGATCGCGATATAAACCCAGTTCGAAGCACTTCTGTCACATACGACCACAGACTGAGGAGAATTGGGCATCCCGTCCGCTCTGCCATACACAAGCCTCAGATCGGCAGATTAGTAGTTGGGTGGGTGACCACCAGCGAATACCTGCTGTTGTATGTTTTTGAATTTT